GACCTGCCATTTTGGTTTTATGTAGCTGTTAACTTTAAATCATATCCTGGTAACTTGTGCCTATTTAAGTTACTAAAGATGTATATTGCCCATGCTGTAAGTTGTAAAGTTATTGTAACAAGGTTACCTAGGCTGCTGTGTTATTTTTCAAATTAACTAATTAGCTTCAGCGAACACAGATTTAAAACAAGTGGCTTGCCGTTTGAACAAACGTTACAAGATGAGTTGCCATCTTGCTTTGCATCGAAATTTGCAGAATTTAGAACTGTAATTTAGACATTATTATGAATAACTTGGTCTGTGTGCTGCAATTTAACTTACGGTACCGGTATTAACAATTTTGGAAAAATTCTGAAATTTTCTGCTTTAAATAAACCTTACCATTTGTAGGCCTATTATAGTTTTTAAATTTTATTGATGATTTGTAATTTAAAACAAAAAATATTAATAGCCTAAATCATAACTTAATATTATTAAAACCTTAGAGTAAGAAAGTTAGTAGGTTAAACTTACTAAAACTTTCGTTTGTTGGTCAAACAAAAATTCACTTGGAAGAAAGTTGTTTAAAAAAAATTAAAGCCAGACTTATGGTTTACTTCTTTTTCCATCTTGCTTAATTTAGCCAGAATTTCAGGTTGAACAGAGAAGCAAGACCATTGAACGAGTCTAAACTAAATTTTTTGTACTTGATTCATTTGGTAAATCCCACTGTACACCCCTGAAAACACACACTGACCAATTATGTCTATTCTGTACTTTACTACAGAAGTGAGATTGTCAAAGCTAGTTTGTTAAATACAAATACATGGCATATTCTCTCTAAAAGCTGATTGTTTTGTATTTTTCTTCCAATACTAGCTGTAACCCGCGGGCTTTGCCCCGTTTAACTTCTTAATTTTCAAGATGATCTCGTTCGCATGGCTCAATCACGTCCTGGTTGAAGTTTGTTCGCTACGCTCACTCACCTTTAGATTGGAGCTCGTTCGCTACGCTCACTCACCTTTAGGTTGGAGCTCGTTCGCTGCGCTCACTTGCCTTCAGGTTAGCTCGTTCGCTACGCTAACTCGCCTCCAGGTTGAAGTTCGTTCGCTACGCTCACTCACCTTTTGGTTGCAAATTAGCTGTTGTCATAAATGTAAAAGAAATAATAGTGCTGCACCCTGTTGGTAATCCTTGTAACTTTAATGCTATTAAACATCATAGAACAGAACCAACTTGTTTAATTGAAACAGCTGTTAAGATTCATTAATTCCATTTCTCATAAGGTTAACATGGGAAACTCCAGAGCCACTGGGGCGGAGCCCAGAGGTCGGAGGGTAAAATCCTTTCTTAGTGATCGTCTACTACCCAAAAGGATGATGCCTGCCAAGATTCAGGTTCCTAGGTCTTATGGTTTCTGAGATTTCGTGATGAGTGAGTGAATGAATGAGTCAGTGGTATTTGAGCTTTATATAGATTTGCATAACAAATTCTTTTGTTATTGTTATCTATTATGAGGCGTTTCACTTAAACTGTTTCAGTTGTAGCCAAGAGACTGTTGGCTGAAGCCACTGAATTGAAAGTAAAAAAAAACTGCATCCGTGCATGGCTGTGACAAGCCAAATTTAGGGCCAGTACCTAAAAGGTTTGTAGAGCATATTAGTTATAGAACTGTTTATTTCATAAGGTTTACTTTTGTTGTTACAGTAGAACCTCGATAGTTCGACACTCCCTGTAGTTCGACACAGGCCGTGATGACAAGACATGGCATCAGTGGCCGATGACGGGTTCACCAAGGTTAAAAACTAGAGCATTCTTAGTGTTTTCGTGCATGGAAAAACTCAATAGGTAGCCTACTTAAAATATCCCATTAACTTACATTTTTTCTAAGATCCAAAGTGTAAAAAGCATGTGACGTAAATTATGAGGGGCGAATAAGATTGTATTTACTGAGCAGCCTACCCCTAGTACCAGCCACGCTCAAATTTCTTCCCCGGGGTGCTGAGAAGGATTCACGGTTTTGACTGATTAATTATTTTAATTTAATCTAAGGTTCAGAGCTCTAGAAGCGCTCAAAAGATCCTGCAGACGCCCAGGAGGAGAGCAATATCATCCTCGCCTTTGTTAAAATGTTATTGCAAATTTTGCCTAACTTTTAGAATAACTGTAGGACAGACGAGTACTCTACCCTGGCCAATTCGATAAAACTACCTACTCGTTTAAACTGTTGCAACAACGGGTTTTAGAATTCTAATAACAAGTCTCGGGTTTGTTAATTTGGTTTATTAGTATAAGGAACATACAAGGGTGGTTTTTCAAGTAAGAGCCAGTTTCTGCGTATAAATCCATAATTCGCTTAAGTACGCTGCAGCAAGGCTCCTCGCCACTTGCTGGTATCATTTGTGAACAGAATGACACAATTTGCAGCTCTGTAGCTGACATGTACCTACATTTCGCTGTGTGTTTCAACAATTTTTTAGACTTTTTGTCCCCGTACGCTAGGCTGGAGCCCGGGATTGTTTTTCACATTACTTCAGGCTAGACCTAGGGGTTACGGCATTATCACTTAGTTAAAATCCATTGGTGATTTGGCGGGATTTGAACCCTGGACCCCAGGAACCGGAATGACCGCGCTCTAACCACTAGACCTGCTCGCTCCCCAATTTTTTAGACTATTGATAATGTCAATGATAATCAGGGCCGGAGAGAGCCATCATGGGCCCCTGGGCTCAGCGATCCCGGGCCCCCTATTTACTTGATTTAGTGTCCAGCCGTCTCCGTGCCGTTTTGTCACACAAATAACTATATTAATAAATGTTTGCTCACAGTTTCAGCTTTAATCACAGTCAAAACAATTCAAGTAAAAAATTACTTAGTGAACTGGAAAACCATGCTGAAATTTTTAACTCAAGCAGATTACCGTACAGAAAAAATTAAAAAAAAATTAGATAAAACATACTCCCTTAGTCGATACTTTATGATTTTTTTTTGTTGCAGGAAAAGAGGAGTTATTGGTGCACAGAATAGGAACATCAGGCTGAGGTTATGCGACAGTAAATAATGTATAAGTAAAATGTCACTTAATTTAACTCATGTTCTAATTTTCAAGTTTGTTTTATACTTTATATTTTCATAAAATAAATTTACTATAACCAATGTCACTTGCTACATTTTATTTATACCCCCACAAATAGTGATATTTTGGCTATGTTTGAAGAACTGTTTTGAACTTTTAAACTTTTTGTTGATCACTGAGATGTCTTTTCTAAAGCAGGGTCTGGTGTAATTTGATGAGGCCTTATTAAAAATTAAATGCTCTCACCCTTCACTCACAAGCTTGGCAGAATAGGCTTATTATTTTTAACCTAACTCAGTTATCCTATACAACATTTAAATAAAGTGTTATAGAATCATTTATAGGTTTCTAGCTGCCCCTCCCCTTGGGCTTCACAACAGAATTGAAAAATTTTCTTTGCTACAAACAGTTGTTTTGCATTGGTTTTGCTTAGAATTTTCCTAACAGCGGTTTGGTAGCTAATACAATTAAACGAAAGTTCTGTCAAAAGAAAAATATGTTAACATTGTAATTTTAAAGCCAGTGAGCCAGAGCCCTGATGGAATCTCTCAAAGCTACTTCTTGTACATATTAAGTGAAACCTATTATGGAGGTTAAGTGAAACCTCCATGCCACCAAGTTCTGAGTACATATGCATGGTAGTTTTTGAGGAATAGTGATCAATGAGTGAGTGAGTGGTAACTGTATTATAATATAGATTATAAGGTCAAATTATGTATCCACCCAAAGTTTTCTGCGTAGATTAAAGCTTAAGGTAATGTACCTTGCGTTTAATATTTTAAGGCTTAACTTACTGCCATAAAGCAACCAATATTTTGATGTCCTAATAGATAGCTGTCCCCGCGCTTAGTAGGCATCATTAAAGTTCTTGAGTTCACAAAGACAAAACAGCTAGGCTATCCACTAGGACATTAAGATATTGGACTACTTTAAGACCGTAAGAATGCCGTAAGTCAAGTAAAATTCCTTGTCAGTCAATCACTTGTTACTGTATGTACTGAGTTGATCATGATTATGCTTTTATTTAACCCGAATTCAACAATATATTTTGATTTCAGCCAAAAATCTTTACCTTGAATTAACCTTAAATTTTCAGGTTATGAGTCCTGAATTGACCATGATTTTACCTTAATTTAAACATACTTATACCTTAATTCAACCTCAATTCAGCCTTGATTATGCATTACTGCCAGAAACGTTTACCTTGAATCAACCTAAAATTTTCAGGGTTGATTCAGGTTTCACAAGTGTTCAGTAGGACCCTTGAATTAGCCCTGAATTAGGCTTGATGGCTTGATATTTTAAGATTAATTCAGGCTTGCATCTTTGAAAGTTTAACCTTGATTTAATACTGAATCAGGAAAAAATTGCTATCTGGGGTAGGTCCCTTAGTTGCCATTATAGCTGTAGGTATAGGCTATTAAACAGCTGTGTCTAAGGAATATGTCGGCCTTAGTCACTAACAAGACTACAAGGCGCCACTCATCCTACACTCATCTCCATTCATACTTTAGCTTAAAATACCTACTTTGTATGGTCGCAAAGAGTCAAACGGTCTAAGGAACGTTGGCCTTAGTCACTAACAAGACTACAAAATCGCGCCACTCATCCTACATTCATCTCCATTCTTAGTTGGCTTGAAATACCGGTACCTACTTTGTATTGTCGCCATTTCATTGAAAAGTATTAAAGTAAGTATGCAACAAAAAATTGTAGTAGGTCTAATAAAAATACCAATTATATGATGAAAATTATTCCCATTAAAGTTGGCACATTAATGTCGCCTTTCACCTCCGTACTCATTTTGTAAAGCTTATATTTCACACAGGTATGGGTAATTCGGCAATTGAAAGGATAAACGAACCTCCACTCCCTTTTAAAAAAGGGAACAATGGATACGGAAATATTATAGAATCACACTAGGGTCTGAAAAACCTAACTTCAATTCACAGATATAAAGCTTTATTGCATAAATGTACAACTACGTTAATAAGCGTCAATGAAGAGCAATACAAGTTTGGATATAAAAATGAAACAGACACAACAACAACAACAGAGCAACATAATTTGCAGCAGACATTGTGGATACTTAGCCAGAAACATTGGGATAATTTCAAGGAGGTCGCATATGAGTTAAAGTTTTGTTACTCGGAGCCAGAATACTCGACAGATAGGTCACTCGACATTCCTGGATCGAGGTAGTCAGAACTGTTTAGGTGGAAACATCGAGTCCAGAACCTATCCATCGAGTGGTAAAGATGTCTGCGGACATGGCTAAGAGCATGGGTCTCGTCTGGGTAACTCTGTAACATAACGTGGGCCGATTTATAATGATTCAAAACATACAAATGTTTGAGATGACCGGTCATGTAATAAGGAGGGGGGATGAAGATATGATAAAACAAATATGGATGGAAAAGCTGGAAGAAGACCTTAAAGGAGAGGTTGAAAGATTAAAAAAAAACAATAGGTTGACAGCCTACAAAGGAGACACAGAGGATGAAAGGAAGTGGAGGCAGTTTCCGTAGGTGAGGTTCTTGAATTTAATTCACCACAGGGATTGGTACATAAGTAAATGGAAGGTTTTAGTAAACAAATAAAGAGGAATGCTATTTGCTAGTGCTAAAAATAATATTACTCATCTTTATCTGTTTCCTTTCAAAAATTTAATTCTAAGGAAAATATTGTAAACCCTATATAATTTTACTTCACCACTAAGCCAGTCTGTTAGAAAATTGTCAGCCCCTTAATAACATTTTGCTAAGGCAGTGTAGTCTCATGTTTTCAACTCCAATATCTTTTACATTACCTATTCATTGACTCTGGACAAATATTGTCTCATCCATATAATAGTAGTAGGTATAGGTACCTATGTTGTCGATCTTGTAATTAAAACAACTCACATATTAGCATCAGTCAATTAAAACATAATCTGTGTAATTTAGTATCAATCCTTTTTACAAATATGCAGGTCTAATTCTGTAAAAAAAAATACTAATAACCAACCATGCTTGGTAATCTGCAATGAAAACAACCTTACCGAGTCTTACCGAGTTTTTGTATGTCAAACTCTAGCATGTTTGTCAAAACTTGAAGACAAACGGACAAATTGAGAAAGTCTAAAGCATTACTTTCTCACCTTTTCCTGGTAAACAAGTATTTCAAGTTTGGATGTGAAGCTAGCCACATAAATTATGACCAGATGGAAAAAGTGTGAATAAATTATCTACCTTTGTCGCAATTGGAATTTCTATTGCTTCCTTAATAATTAAGAATGTTGAAATTAAATTATTAACACAATTATTGTGTCACCAATTTCATTGCAACATTCATATAAAATATAGGTACCAATCTGCCAAGACTTTTTTGTATGGGAACTGTCTAGGACCGAGTCTTGTTTACCATCCAACATAAACCTTTTTCTAGATATCATTATTAAGAAGATAGTCATTCATCACCACTTTGGTGTTTGAAAAAATATTTTTGAATGATAATTAACTCTTCAGCAGATAGATGTTTGAAACTATCCAAGATGGTCGCTAGCCTCCAAGGACTCTTAATTATCATTCTATAACAACTGGCTACTGTACTTAATTATCATTCAATAACAAATGGCTAGAAATTTAAAATGGAATTGAAAGTTTTGTTAGTTTCATCGGTAGTCAAAGCTATAATATAGTGGCAAAAATTAAGCTAATTATTTTGTTTTGACTATTTCATGGGACACCAAATAAATGCCATTATAATTATTTTAAATACCTGCTGAAAGAACATGATGTCCGCAAGTTCCAGTGCTCGGGACAACATCATGCTCTGCTGGTAATGTACGTTGTCATCTGCGTTGCCGTGTATCAGGTAGTACAGCTTGTGTCGGAAGTTGGCCACCCTGGCAGTGACATCACTAGCTTTGTAGCCCGCAAGGTTGCTCTCATTGGTTGGAAGCCCCATGTACCTTTCCGTGTACACTGTGTCTGCGGGAGGAATGTAGAAATGTTTGAATGTTCAGGATACAAAACTATTTGTGAACATGTAGCTGTTTGGGGATTGTAAACTAGACATAGTGTTGTCTTTGATCATTGGACTAGCAATAAATCTGCTAAATAAATGCCAGGTTATAGTCAGTAACAAAGCTACACAGATAATCACACTCATAGTCTACCATAAAAGCTAAGGGTTGATGCTTTGATCTCCATGGATTGATCAGTGTTTTAACTATCATGTTTTCTATAATTTTATCGATTAAAAATCTAGACTTAAATGTTTGAAAAAAGTGGACACACACACACCCCCAAACATTAGATGTTCCTCAAAAAGAATTTAGGAATCCCATCAACTTCCACCTAAGCCACCCACCATATAGTTTAGCTGGACCTCTCCCGCAATGCTTTTCTACAAACGGGTGAACTCTTCGTCAGTTGCACTCCAGACCCTGACCTCACCAGTGCCATCTACTGGTCAGGGTGACAAAACCTGGGATCACTTGGCTATTGATCAGACCTCACTGTCTACCGCAATAACAACTTGTAACAACACTGGTCCACCAAGAGCACAAGTGTTGTAGTAGTGAACTGAACCACCAGATTGCTGCACATGTCATACTCTCATAGATAGTTAGATGTGAGTGAAGGTTTAGTTACGATAATCTTGTGCCCTCAGAGCTCAAAGAGTTAAAATAATAGTGCTATACTGTGGTGATATTAGTGTGTATGAACTCATTTTGGAAGATTAATGTGGAATTTGTGAGATGCTTTGGGTAGCTTTATCACAAAAACCAGCAGTTTCTTTAGCCTAGACCTTCTATTAAAAGACCAATAATCAAGGACAACACTGGACCAGTTTTGAACCATTAAACCATCAGCTGATGACTTTTTCAGGATTGATCTGGTTCCCATTTACAAGATACAAGATACAAGATACAAGAACTTTATTGTTAGTAAAATACATAATGTGGTACATTAGTATCTCCTAACTCGTCAATTAATCCTAAACATTAGCATAAACATAATTTAACACAATTTAACTTCTTCACCTTAACATATTCTAACATTCTTTAATTAGTAAATTAAATTTGATTTTACGGTAAGCACTTTAACCACTCAGCTATAAGCTGGCTAACTATTACAATTTGGAAATATTTTGTCCACCGATAATTTTGAATAATAGTATTATTTAATTTCTCATTTTTGCTACTGTAACTTTGAAATATCAATTTTCTTCCACTAACCGTAGTAGATCCAATTAGTGACTGGAGCCACAGATATTCCGCAGCGGAAGATGTTCAACTCGTCCTTGGCGAGTGCCATCGCAGCAGCATAGCCTCCATAGCTCCACCCCCAGATGCCTGTCCTCAGGGGGTCCACAAACGGGAAATGCTGCTGCAGGTATCTACAGATCAAATCAAATTATACAATTATGTTACATTTTTAACCTTGCTATAAAACAGGTGACATTTGCAGTATATGATTACAATCATAAATCTTACAATGGGTACGCTTAAGTATCTTTTACGGCATAAAAATGGTGAAGTGTGGAAAAAAACTACTTCAGCAACAATGAAATGCAAATCTACACTAGCCCTGTATACTATCTATCTCATTGGTTATACAGTACTCCTGATTATTTTAATCTGGCCATGGTAATGTGTTGGATAAGTGGAAAGGTCAGACAACGACATACCGCAACCATTTTGTACATGGTACTATTTATTAAAAAACTGTCATGTTGCCAGTTATTTAAAGCATTAGAGTATTGTTAAATAACTGCTGACAATTGCCTTGCCAACTGCCCTCACAAAATTGCCCTGAAATTCAGTTGTCTGCTGGAGTAGACTGAGGACAACAAGGAGGTCAACTGGGCTCCGACAATCCAGTAATCTTGCTTGTGATAACAATTGGCAAAGACTACTATCTCACCAACTGGCATCGTGTAAACCCGGCTTAAAATGTGAGAGGTTGCAGAAAGGTATGCAGGTGGATCTGACAAGCGACAAACTGTTTAGTACGAGTATTATTAAGTTTTGGATACCTGAAGACATGACATACATATTGACTAGCAGAAGCCAATATTTTACCAAAAAATAACATACTGTAGTTGGGTGAACTACTCACAGAGTGTGTTAGACTCTAAAATTCAATTTTTTGACACTTAGTCTTTGTAAAAAATGTATGTAGAAAAAATAAATTATGATATAGCTTACAATAAGTTGTACTTTCAGTTCGGCTTAATTCAAAGCCGGTACATTCCACAGATATCAGTAATACATCAGCATGCTCTGTTGGACCGTTGGTAGCTCGATTCAACTATGTTCAATGTTCATTTTATTTCAAAACTTCAAGATGGGATTAACATTTCTAAATCTATCAATAGTCAAAGATAGTGTACAGCATGCTAAACAATAAGAAATCACACAGTCTAGTGGTCCATAAAGACTAGCAAGTATCTTACGAATACAGACAGGGATAGCAAAAAAGACGTTTTCTCGACATACCTGCTACGGTTTACATAGACATCTGAGAATAGAATGTGTGAATAGTATGCAGATTGAGATTGATAAGAAGTTTGAGTAATCGAAGATCAAACCATCAAAACTATGTTGTATTGTTATGTTTTGAGACATCTCTCCACTCATACCAGTATGTTTTATGAATTTCACTCTACCTTCCCACGATGAGTATATCCTCTATCTCAGGGCCGCCAAGTTTGTGGTAGATGGCGAACTTGAGCTTGTCACCTCGCAGACCTGAACCCCGTCCATCCAGGTAGGCCATCACAACATGTCTCTGTGTAGAGAGATACTCCTCGTACCCTGGGATACTCCACGCATCACTCAACTTGTTGGAGTCTGGACCCGAATAGCTGGAACAAATAGAAAATAATTGTTTTCTTGTCTTTCCTTCACAATTTTATGACGCTACGCTCTAGCCTGAAAACGTTATACACAACCCTTCATGTTGGGCCTAGAGAGTCACATAGCTGGATGGATGTAACTATTATATTAATGGACAAGATTTCAGCTAAGGACCTCAGTGACTGAAGCCCTGCCCTCTACCATTAGACCTGCTCTCTCCCCACACAACATAAAGGTAGCATTGAGTAGTGTTTATTAAGTTTTGTCGATGCAGTTAAACATCATCTTCAATGTCGATGCTGCTGATAGTAAAAGTAATAAAGGAGTCTCCAAGTGACATAGAAATAGAAAGCAGCTTACACATAGAACAGCACAGGGTACTTGGTACGTCCAGTTTTGTCTATGTTGGGAGGCAGAAGTAGACGGACTCTCGCTGTAAAGTTGCCTGGCACTGGAACTAAGAAGTCCAACTTGGTCGGCAGATCTATCTTCTCCATCGCTTCGGCCAGTTCGCTGTTGTTACTCAGGTGCTGGACCAACGTCCCTTCCTGTATGGGAATCACAGAATTTTGAGAATTGTATTTTGAAGAAAAAAGCACTTGGCTCAGAAAAACACTAGGGAAATAAGATTCACGACTAACTTACCAAAGAAAAGAGTTCTATTTTACAGCACACCAAAATTGCACATTTTTTACAATCAATTTGATATTTCAACTCAAATGAATTTAAGTTAAATTGTTTGCTTTTAAAAGTATTATAGACATCCCAAGAACAAAACAACCTGCGCAGAAACGAAAAGATCACGTGGTTCGCGCCGGTAGGTGTGGCGTACCATTCAAACCTGCGCGGCTCGAAATGGCCCAGGGTTCTTTTGTTTCTGGTATGTCTATAGGATGCTCAACTTTAAGTCAAGCTAATGGGAGAAAGTATATGTAATATTTTTCCGATATTGCTTACTTTCCAGCTTATCGAGTCTTTTAAAACTTATATTAGGAACTGGAACTGAGTTAGTTCTAGTAACCAGGCCGTGAGTGAATATTGAGGTGCCAGAGCTAAAACCTATAGGTTTTATACAGTTTAAGTTAAATGTGCAACAGATTACAAGAACTCGTCACAGTTTATGCAAATTAAAAAAAACTACCATTTCATATTAAAGCTATTGATACATAAATGTAACTGAATTGGAGTACTTTGTTGTATATATGAAACTGCGGAACATTGGGTCCTTGGCAGGTAAGCATGGCGTAAGCACAATCCCTGCTGAAAGATGCTGTTCCATAGGCACAGTCCTCTTGAACTCTGCAGCTAAAACATTCTTTTCTAACTGGGTTGTTCACGTCCATCTTGTAGACCAACTTTTTCGCTGAGTCACCATTCACTGTTGATGTAAAGTACCTGGGAACAGTCAGAAAGTAGAAAATCTTTACTATGGATTGTTCAACGCACATGATGACATGATCAAGAAAATGCTCTAAGATAAACATTCTTCATCTTCAACATCCTTGCGTTTCATATTTAAGTCAGATTAGGCAGCTTTGTTCATAAATTTGACTAAAATATTAATGGAATTTGTAAAAGTAACAAGTAGGTACAGTAATCAAGTAAAATGAAGACGAGTACATTAGGTGACCAGGAATTGCATTGTGACTTTAGTCAATAGTGAGTTGAATTTAAAAGAATTAAAAGAAAATAGTTTTTAATACTCCTTAATCTTCATTCAAATAATTTATTCTAACAATATTTGATACCTGATACATACAACTCAGTCCCCACCACTCATAAATGTGAAGATGAGTGAAGGATAATGTGAAATGAATGAGATGATAGCTTTGTTAACTTAAACCGATACTACTCTTAATCAACTAAAAAAGACATACCTTGATGTTTTTCAAAGGTTTCAGATTAAATACCTCAGTAAAATTCTGGATAAGCAAATCAACTGAACGACATTTATACGCCACTTTACTCACACTAGTCCGTTCTGTTTGTCATAGCACTCTATACTCGTGACTACGCTGAGTCCAGACGTCAGCGGCCGACTGTCTCCCCCTTCCACCAAGCTCAGCTGACGGTAGTTTCCGAGGTCTCCACCCTGTTCCTGAGGTAGAACTGTGAGGAAAGCCGAGCTGTTTACCCACACTGGCTCTTCTATGCTGAGCCATCCATTGGGCTCTCGGTACGAGTAAACCTGGGTGAAGTGTAAGTTATGTTTTAGATTGTAAGTGAGAAGGGTATTAAAGTATGATCTGTTTAGATATTCAGCCTTCTGAACACTTAGTGCCAAAAGAATGTTTATATAGTCACAACCATTTATTGATTAAAAGCCTGATAAAGGATAGTTGAGTCCAGTTGATACAACAATAATCTAATTATTCTTGTCTTAATGGGAAAATCTGAACGTTTTCAAGATACAACACTAAACTGGACACATTTTAAAAAAGTTTTACAGACTGATAGAATCCTCACAATGTGGTAAACTGCATCCGTCTACTAGTTGAGCAATAATGTGGCACCCGCTAACTGGTAACTAGTAAGCCTTCTACGCGGTCAGCACCCAAAGACCAAGATTTGACAATCTACAGTGACCGTGGAAGCTTATCATCTAGTAAGCCTTCTACCTGCCTACCTGCCTCTCCCTGCATTCTGAAAAAACATCTTGAGACGTTTTGTCTAAGGCATGATACACAATAACAATAGTTAGCATGAGTTTGGTTGATTGTGGCTGACACACACTGCATCAGTCACAACAAGACTTAGGTTTGGCTAATTTTGATATGACAAAACACTATTGTATGAACAAAAACCCAAGATCCCTCATGGTACATCCACTTCTAATCAGGTGACCATACCAGTGGAAGTCTTTAGACACCTTAGGAATCATTCAAATAGAACAAGACAAATCATCTTGTCGTGTTTGACGCAATGTGGCTAACCATAGACTTACCACTTGACAGGAGGCTAAGTTGTTGACATCACACACTAGAGTGTTCCCCCAGGTCTGTAGGCGTTCTAGCCAAGTCATGGAGAAATGACTCTCATCTACCCAGCTGACACTGCTCAAAATATTGTCACTGAAACCGATCAAAATAATTATGAATCCAAAAAAATTATAGTTAACTATCTATCTGTACTGGTAACCAATGTGTGTTAGCCACAGGCAATTTAGTTAACAGTGCATTGTATTGAAGAGATCGTTGTGGAAAATTTCTTGGATCAGGTTTATCATTCATTTGTGTCATAGCTATTATTTTTCACATCAGAACTTCTGACAGAACTGAAGAGTACATAGACATATAGAGAGCTCATCATGTTGTTTTTATTTTATTTTTGTTGAAAGGATGGTTTTTTTGATGGTTCAAACTGGACATAACTGTCAATGATCAATGGGCTTTTAATGAATGGTCTTGACTGAATAAGCCGCTGGTCTGAGTACAGACCCTGTATCACTATTATGAGATAGGTTAAACTAAATATGTGTATTATGTATTTTAATCCAAATATCAATCTATATATCTAATTCCGTAAGCCCAAAATTTTACAATGAAATTGTGAGCGAACGGGAGGCCGTAGAAAGTTGGGAGAGGTCTCATTTTAAAGGTCTGGTCGTGAAATTTTGGGGAAAATTATTCATTTTTCTTAATTATGCACCAAACGGTTGTTAGGGAATAAAATAATTCACATTTAAATAGCATGGGAATCTAATTGTATGTATTTTTATTTAGTGTAAACACAGCTGTGATTATATAAATTGAAAAAATTATAACCACACCTGAATGTGCATTATTTTGTTATTGTAAAATTGTTAGCACAAAGTGTAAATGAGATAAAATCTTTTGAACAAACAATTTGATACTTTTAAACTTAATACTTTACAATGTATCCCCAACAGCACAATGGGCTTGCTGGGAACTTGTTCCAAGTCCATTGGCCCAAGTCCCCAAGCCTGGTTTAGACTCAGGGACCAAAGTCTGTAGGCTTGGTTTTGACTTGTTTTAGAGACCGAAGTTGGCAGTTGTTCAACTTGTTATGGGTTTGGCTCCCCAAGTCCAACCCAAGTCCCAACCCCAAACCTACAGTGAACTCATGGGCACAAACCCACTCTAAGCTTGGAATGATGGATACAAAACGGGTCTGGTGGATTAAGCAGGCTCATTATGGACTTGTTCGGGACTTGGGGACCCAAGCCCAATTTTAGTAGGCTCATATTGGACTTGGCTTAGACTCATATTGGAATTGGTTTTAGCACATTTTAGACTTGGGCAAACAAGCTCACACTGATAAATTAAACAGGCTCATTATGGACTTGGAGACCCAAGCCCACTTTTAGTAGGCTCATATTGGACTTGGCCTAGACTCATATTGGAATTGGTTTTAGCACATTTTAGACTTGGGCAAACAAGCTCACACCTATAGACTCACTCAGAACTTGGTACGAAGTTTTATATACTTCAATTACTGTCATGATCAGAGATAATAATAATTATTATTATAATAGGCTATAGTAATAGTAATATAATTTATACCTATTTAACATATAAGCTGTTTCACACCATTCATTTGCTAGCCCACATTTTTTCTTATAATTTGTTTTTTACCAAGAAAGATTTATGATAAAATGAAGCCTACTTTATGAGTGATCTTGAAAAAATATTGGTTATATATGAGGTTTAGAAAGCAAGACATTCACATTTCAAGACAATTTATTAATATAATAAATACAATGCCCACTATCTTCCACTTCACCTTCAACTTCTTTTCTGAACCCATCAACTCCACCGCCTGCTTCAGAAGATCTATAAAAAATACAATTGCATTGGAATTATTTGGTTTATTAAAATTTATTATTAAAATCATTTTTCATTATTTTTATTTGTTATAATTATTTGATTATTTGGAATTTGTTGGTGTTGCAAACACAGGGTGTTAACTTACCTTTGTTTTTAAAATTGTTATCGAACTTTTATTTCTTACTATTTTACTTTTATAATGATTACAGCGTGTGATGGAACTTACACATCAATAAGGCTACTGAATACAAACAACGTAATAATGGTTTAGGTTAAACACAAATTTTGGCACTGTTCTGTTGAGTTCAGCAGTAGACTATAGAGTATAGTATAGTGAGTGACGTCGATTCCGTGAAGCGCTGAGTATGTCAAAGGTTAAAGCACAAAAGATTTAGGCTATAAACAAAATTTTACGGGTTCTTGATGCTATGAAATTAATTGTTTGCTTAACTTAGCTTACTTATATCATCATAGACTAACCAACACAAGTATATTTTTTATCAATGGAGTTTAAATCTTACCTTTACAGGAATCCCTTAATTCTTCTTTGCTTCGTCTTGGTATCAAAACCATAAACAAAACTCACAACTAGTAACGAAACGAGTACCACTCACAACACCAGAACTAGATAAGTGAGAACTGACAACTAACTGAGAGTGAGGAAGTCTAAATCCAACAAAAATGGTGGTTCAGCACAAAGAAACAGGTTTTAGGAGCGTTCTGGGTAGGGGTGGAGGGAAAATTCTTTTGTCATATGGCACTGCTCACTTTAGACTCACATGAACAAGCTTGCCGTGGGTCTGGTTTGGTGTTTAAATTGTGGACTTGGCCAACCAGGTTATATATGTAAATAAAACAAGTTTAGTTTTGGCTCATTCACACAAGTTCACTTAACCAAAGCTGTTTTAAATTTGTAGTGGGTTCCAAACTCCAAGTTTGTCATACCAATTCAGAAATATGTAAAAACCAAGTTTAGTCCAAGCTCACGTGCTGTCTGGGATTGTTCTTTTGCACAGTAATAATGTACAATGTTGGAAGACCACCACGTAGAGGTATTGTTCCTCGAAATTAAAACAACAGGCCCCAGATTTGGCACGATGAGCATCGGATGAACATTAAGTTATTCCCGTGTATAGATTACCACTTTGATTTGGTGAAATTGTGACGCAAGGCCAAATCTTCACAAAAGTTGGCATTTATTTTAAAACCCCACTACCCATGGTCAACTTTATGTTGTGTTCAGCCGGGTAAGCGGCCAGATGATGTTAAAATAGTACTAGAACCAAATAAAGACCAAGGAATCGAGCAAAAAGGATACTATACAACAAATGTTGTTTTCAGAGAGATTTTGTTATAGCAGCACTTTACAATTTGGATGATAACATTATCTCTATGTTTTTTCTAAGTGAATTTGTCTATATTAAAAGAAATCTATATAGATATAATTAATTGTAATGAAGATTATTATTGGGAAATGTTCCTTAGTTGTTAGTTGTATTATGATTAGAAAGTTTATATTATAATCACACCGCATGTTCTTTAAAATTTTTATTTTAAACAGAGCAGACATCAAAATGCATTATGCAGGTATGCAATAAGTAGGCATATTATACATATTATAATATACAAATATGTTAAACGATAATTCAAGGTAGGGTACAAAATAATTACTAGAATATAATATATATATATAGGGGCTATTGCCCCTAAAAGCCACTAGTGGGAGATAAGTGCAGGGTGAGTAAACTGTCTTGTTGATGCTTTGACTGCAACATCAGCTGTTCCTTAAGCTATGATCTGTATACTTAATAGGTTTAAATAAATAAATAAATTTTCCAGTACGGGAAAGCTCGCATTCTTTTGAAAAAAAACATGGATCACCTGATAGTATTAGAGTTTTGGGGAAAACAGAGTGGGAACCTGGGCAATTTGCGCACAGGTCCCCTCGTCATTTACTAACAGCCCAAATTAAGGACAAGCTGGTCCAGTCCTTAGAAAAGCTCCTAAGAATTCTTTTAGGATTGATGTACTTGTTCAAAGATATTTTTGTAAAATTGTTGTCATCTAAAAAATATAAATGAACTAAAACAGGTGTCATAAACTGTCAACAACTTTTTTGGTCAAACAAAAACTTGGATGGTAGGAACAAATCTCAAGTACACAGCAAAATGTGTAAATGTATCAAATGAAAGTAATATTAAAAGCTCACCTAGTTACCAGATCTTCTGGAGCCTTTATTTTCTGTGGGACCCAATCTTTTGTTTCAACAAGATCAATATAGTTCAAGTATGCAACCGGGTTTCTTGTGCCAACCTGAAACACATTAATTAACATACAATTAATACTTAAATAGGTACTTAAGTGTTACAAAAAGATAGAACTTGGACTTTATCGCTTGGTACATAAAATTGTTTGTTGATAATAGCTACCTTTAGTTACACTGTTACAGTTAGTTGTACAGCAGTATAGGGTTGTCATTGTTTTTTTTTATGAGTAGTAAGATTATTTTCATCAAAATGCACAAAAAAAACGTTTTTTTAATATTTTATTCTTAAAAATAAGTTTGTTTAGGTTTTTAAACCTAAACTAGAAACCATAGATTTAAAAATCAGTTTTTATATTGATATGGCGTTTTTGTTACAGTAGCTATAGTACTGTGTTTTTTACTTTTTGGATACTGAACTAGGCAACACACCTATAATGACAAGCCAATGCTTTATTGCTTTATCGAAAAAATAAAATTGCTGAATGATCCACTCGCAGGGTGAATTTGTTATTAAAAAATTCAATTTTCACCCTTAGTTTTTCTTTCTGTGGTATTTAATGTAAGTTTTTATATAAAATAGTTGAAAATAATTATTACTTTCTTAGTTTAGTTTACTTGGGTAATAAGTTGGCTTTGGCTGGTTAAATATTCATAGCGAGACATGCTATGCAAACCAATGTTTTTAAATAATTAATAGCAGCATTATATGACTATTTTACCTTGGGGTACTTGATCACCACTTGTTGAACGTACTGTGAGTTCAAACTGCCTGGATCTCCGTACTTCCAGAAGGTAACGTTGCGAACATTTGTGTCGTTCATTGTTGCGAACACAAGTCTTGTTCCATTTGGAGAGAACCAAAGAGCTTTTGTGTCTTCTAGTACTTCCTCTGTACCGCAAGTTACATAACGATTAATTTTTATTATACTTTGGAACAACTTAAAAACTAAGGTTGTAAATTTGGAGCAAAAATGTAACGATTAAAAAGTTTCTGTTCTAATATCTGATAAAAATGCAAAAGACAAATTCATGATGATAGTACACAATATTTCCTGGGTAGACTTAAGGCGGTTATACTTACTTGCCCTCAAACCTGAAGGTTGCAATTGCTTTTGTCAATGGGCCATCAACTAAAGGTGTTAAAAAGATTAGTATTTAAACTGTTGCTTTGCAAAAAAAAAAAACTCAAAAACACTAAAACATGAAAACACATAGAATTATATGAAAACATTACCTACTTAAAGTTTTTTTTTATATATAGCTTAATAAATAGTTGTGCTTAGGTGCAATTTTGCAGGGATCAATAATAGCAATACTTTTAAAAATAAGTTAAAATATGATAACAACTTACAGTAGACTCCCTCTTATCCAGACTCCTCGGGACTGAGGCCAGTCCGGATAACGGTTTTTCAACGTTTTTAAACCGACATCCCCAAAATCTCATTAAAACGGACCATTTAAATGCATACTCTATACGGTATTTGACTTAAAATTAGGAGAGCATTGTATTTAGACACGTAATCACTAGTCTCAAATCTTTCCCACGAGAACAGTCGTTTCAGTACCGCCCACTTCCTGCTGATCTAGTCCGGTTGAACAATGTGCTGATAAAAATTATCCGGATAAAGAGATGTCACTAATACCGAGTGTGGTCCGGTTAACCAATGTCATGTTAAAAGGTGTCTGGATAAGAGGGAGTCTACTGTACTTAAAAGAAACAACTTACCTTCATATACCCAGTCTGCCACCCCATTGTATACATCCTTGGTAGAGTTTGTGATCCTCTTGAAGGTGTTGTTGCGTCGAAGGTCCTCACTTTGGTAGAAGATATTGTTGTCCTTCACAAACACCAGCCCAGAACCTACAGGAGCCCATACAAGCAGCTGTACACGGCCAAACTTGTATTGTGTCCTGCGAAAAAGAAAATTGTTGCCAAACAAAATGAAAATTTGTCCAACTCCTGAGCTTTAAATATACTATAGTTTTGTCTACGGCTCAGTTGTAACTTGCAGTACTGCCATTTCCCCCATTTGGGCATTATTAAGTCTAAAAATGGTTTATTTTACCTTTTTGCGTCAAACAATCCGTGTGTAGTTAGTGCAACTACAGCTGTTTCATACCACTATGGTACATCTTCAGGTTGTTGGTAGAACGTTAGATAAAACAGCATTCATTCATAGATGAACTTGACGAAATAAATATGTCTATATACACGAAATACACAAAAAACATTTAAATACACGAATTTACGAACTTGGCTAAGTGACAAACACACGAGACAGGCGCCGGTGGATGTTGAATTTTTCCTGTAGGGGAGAAACTATTATTGCCATTCGTGGTATTTCATTTAGATGTCCCCAGAGGTCAAAAACACTATTCCTTCACATGTTTATACATATTTATAAATGTCCATAAACACACGATAACTTGATTAAGGTTCAATGTTTATTACATTTGGCATAATTGTGTAGGGCTCGATAAACTTGATTAAGTTTGTGAATCAGCAAGGTCGGAACAAAATGTTATGGGGTTTTTAAACTGTTCAAAAATTTTTTTCTTAAAATTATTACTATTAAGGATGAAAAAATTTTAATTTTCATTATGGCCGATGGCCGTTGTGTAGGGATTAAAAGTACAAATAATTTTGAGTATTGAAGCATTGTTGTAGGACTTGTAGGATTTGAGGCTATAGAGATATTTAAGTAAAAATCCATTCAGAGTTCAGACCAATGGAAATTTTAGTCTACATGTCTGTTGTGATGGAGGTAAATTCTTATTTTTATGTTGTAGCCAACCTTACAACTCTATATTTTATTTTATTTGGAGTCAACTGAAATTTATGTAAATTTATACATTTTCCCATGTAGCACAGATGGTTGGGCCAACGTTGGTAAATTGTGGAGCCACACAGTTGGCCAACGGTAGAAATGTCACCTCTTTAAACTGTTTTCCAGCCAACCTTTGTCCAACAATGGCCCAACCAAAATTATTTCACACAAAATAATAAAGATTTAGTACGAAAAGCATAATTATTAGTTGAGTAAATTGATTAAATAGTTCATAAAAACAAATTTTGAAAAAAAGCTGGAACAAAATTTTTTGGCCCAGACGGGTCTCGAACCCGGGTCCTTCGACTTATGAGCCTCTTACCTTACCACTGAGCTATCTGTGATTGTTGATACAGAGAGTTTTCAAGTGGTGAAAGAGTAGCCGACAGTTGCAATGGTCGCAATACTTCAAACATTTTTGATACTACACAGTATAATATGATTCTGTTAATCTGTTAAGGCATCATAAGTAGTTTATTTTTTTTTTGGAGTTAGAGAGGATACTGGTATTTGAATATAGATTAATTAATTACCGTTAGATTATTAATGCTATTATAATTGACTGTTAGGTATATGATTAATTACTCTTTCCCCTTAAATTGTTGCAAATAAGTTAAAGAATATTAATTTAAAAAATATTTGCATTATTATAATTATTAAAATTCATTGTTGTAGCCCCGGAACTGTAATATATAAAATATCTGGTTTTACAATACCTTTATCAGTTCCAAAAACTTTTGAAAACTTTTTGAACTGATAAAGGTATTGTAAAACCAGATATTTTATTATAATTATGTTGTGAAAGCTAGACCCAGAGAATGAAAGTCGTGTAAACTCAACTATGGACCATCGTTGGTCCAACAAAAGTATCTTTTGTTGGTCCAACGGAGTGAAAAACGGTTGGACAACGGTTGGCTTGATGTATGATACCCAACAATGCATATTAATGTATTTCATTAACAATGAACCGATGTTGGTCCACAGTTGTAAATATTGGTTGGCCCAACTACGAGATATACAGTTGGACAACGGTTGGTTGGTTGTGGAAGCTCCAACCAACCATCGACCAACTGTCCCACAGTTGGCCAACGTTGGCCCAACCATCTGTGCTACATGGGTTGGTATTTGCAAAAACTATTTAAATAGCAAACCACCAGATCAAAGCACAGCAATTTCAAAATCTCCATTCAAGGTTGGGAAGTTTACTTTGGACATTTAAGGATTACCAGTCAAGATGGTGGATTAAGTATGTCACAAACGAATGCCAAGTAGGGCAGAAGCATCCCAGGGTCAAAACATGTGGTTTTGCCATGTTGTCAAACAAAACTCAATGTATTATGCAAAAGATTGTCCATGACTGAAATGATAAAGGTCAATTGATTAATCTGAGGTAATTTAAAACCATTCATAACAACTAGTGAGTTGCACTTGTATTCATTGGTTGCAGCTACTATGGTTGCGCCCAATATTTACTCATTATTATCATGAGTGAATACCTCATGGGTGAGTAAAATACCTTGACCAAGATCAGCTGTTTCTTTGCCCCAGGAACATTAAAAAACCCCAAGAATCAAGGGGGGGGGATGCAAAATACTACCTTCCTCAGAAACCCCCCCCCCCCCCATGTGAGGTCAGACTTTTCTCAGGATTGAATCTGCATCCTACTTTATTGCTAAGCACACTCTACACTTGGATTACCCAGCTATTAATTTTCTATAAAGATGAATTTCTGCAACTTTTTATACTCCGCGCCAAAGCTGGTGGCGGCTGAGGGATTAGGACGGCCAGGTCGGTGAGCAGGTCCAACTTATATAGTCCTACCTGGCCGTCCTAATCCCTCAGCCGCCACCAGCTTTGGCGCGGAGTATAATGTTGTCTTAAAAGTATAATTAAGTATCTTTTGTTATTTTAAAATGTCTTCATGTAAAAACATGTAGAATATAGTTCTTTATAATCTTAACTAATAAAACTTTCCTTACCCAGTTTCAGCTTCAATTAATGTGTACAGAGATGTGGTAGAGTGCCTGAAAATCTGCAAACACATTTTATGTTAAATTCCTGTACATTCTATTTTCTAAAAAATACCGTTTAGTACATTTTCAACTAGATTTTTTATTTACATAGTTATTTAGTATAAAATAATGCAGTTGTTCAACTTAACAAATTTGCCAAAATGATGTTTTATGGCTATAATTTATATTGTTTATACCCATTCATACTTAAAATACCTACATTCGTATGGTCATCATTTCAGAATAAAGTATAATCCTATCGGAAAAAAATCCTATACACTCCGCTATGTCTATAATTTCTGTAACTACCATATTTATATGGCCGAATGGATAATTATGTGCTTTACCCTCACTAATCACAACTACTGCAGCAAGACAGAAAATATTTTGTGCTTTAAGATTTTCACTCTGAGTTCAACAGTTGCATTGAGTAAGGTGATTAACAAGATACAACTTTAATAGTTTAACTGTGAGGTATTGTTTCAATATTTTATAGCCAACTTACCGATTGTTCATCATGTTCCACAGCTATCCATTTGCCGTCCGCTGATACAGTCACATCAGTCAAGTTAAACGTGTCCTAAAACATCAACACTGCTGAAGATTATTGTATGCGGGGCGGAAGTAAATGTTTACCATTCAGACTAACTAGAAATTAAAACTTACCAAATGGAAGTAAAATTTTCTATTCAAATTCTATGCAAATTCTATCAAAACACAAAATCTAATGAATTTTCTTCTTTACAAACTCACCGTTATACAAGTAACATTACAATATTTTACTTGAATTCACTAAAACATCACCAACTGTAATGGTAACCCATTTTCGTATGGATGTAAACAAAATTGTATCATAGTCATCTGTTTTTATGTAAACAACTATGAACTTGAAAAAGTTCAGATGATTGACAACAAAATTCAGGACAAACTCTGAAATTTTAAAAACCTATAGAGGTCAAAAACAAAAGGCACATCTAGAGGATAAGAGCTTTAAATTGATACCCAATATGTCTACAAAAATAAATATATTTAGGGGTCGATTTTCTGAATAAAAATAGCCAGATTGACTTCAAATACTGCAAGTATACATGTAACATGTAATGTACATTTACGAGAAACAGATGTAGCATTTACTTTGGAAAAGTATGGGATTAATATGCTAGCTCCGCTAAATATTGCAGGCAGACAACTGCTGCATTATACTACTACTAGCTGTACCCGCGGGCTTTGCCCCGTTTAACTTCTTAATTTTCAAGATGAGCTCGTTCGCATGGCTCAATCACGTCCTGGTTGAAGTTCGTTCGCTACGCTCATTCACCTTTAGGTTGGGGCTCGTTCGCTGCGCTCACTGGCTCACTTGCCTTCGGGTTAGCTCGTTCGCTACGCTAACTTGCCTCCAGTCCAGGTTGAAGTTCGTTCGCTACGCTCACTCACCTTTTGGTTGCAAATTAGCTGTTGTCATAAATAATTAAAAAAATAATAGTGCTGCACCCTGTTAATTGGTTATCCTTGTAACTTTAATGCTATTGAACATCATAGAACAGAACCAACTTGTTTAATTGAAACAGCTGTTAAGATTCATTAATTCCTTTTAAATATGAAAAATCATAAGGTTAACATGGGAAACTCCAGAGCCAATGGGGCGGAGCACGAAAGCCCGATCAGAATAAAAACTACTTAGTTTTCCTATTTAATGCCCAAAGAATCGGTGTACCGAATTTCAGCCTCCTAGGTAAATGGGAAGTGGGAGAATTAGTGATGAGTGAGTGAGTGAGTGAGCCAGTCAGTGAGTCAGTAAGGGCTTTGCCTTTTATATATTTAGATTTATTCTGACTTGGAATCTTTTTTTTTCATTAAATACCAAAAAATTACTCACGTATGTACTTTTGCTGAGGAGGACACTTGTGTCTTTGGTTTCCACATTGTATTTGACAATACTCCCCTCGTCTTCATAGATGTATTCATTACCTGAAAATGTTATAATGGTTGATACATAAAAGATAATAATTATGCAAAAAACTATATCCACTTAATCCATATAGGTACATTGTTCTTTATATTAGAACAAATTAAATATTATTACCAAAGTAAAATAATTAATAACCGACTTTATTCAACCAACACACAATTTGCCCCCGCCGCAGCAAACCTGCAGACTAAGTGAATTTCCATTTTCCGGTCTAAATATTTTCACTAAAAAGTTATCAGATTTATTTCCTATTTAAATAGCATTAATTTTAATGAGTACGGTAAACTGTACTTAGGTTTGCTGCTACAGGGAAGGTATTGAGGTAAACGTCTCAATGTAGTATTGACGGAAGCTTGTTTCACTGGCTCATTTGATATGTCGTGATTTGTCTCTGGTATGTTGTGATCATTTATTATGTTGTTTTCAGTAAGTGTTTACAAGATCGTGCTTGTAATTAAATATGTAATAGAATCTTTGGCGATATACAAAACAAGTGTCGGTACCTATCAGTTAAACAATAAAAGTGTACACATAAAAACATAACCTTAGTTAAGTTTCCAAATGTGGTTCCAGGACCTAAAGAATCAAATATTTATAAACTTTGCAAAAACTGAAGAAAACTGGATCCGTAGAAAACAATAAAATGTAGACCTTAGACCCACAATACAGTTGCTCTATTTGAGCTTTTGAAAGCACCATGTTGAGTCTTATTTAAAATAAATTCCCAATAACTAAACAGATAACTATACAACAATGCATACAAGCCGATCGACAAAAAAGTAAAGTAAACAGTAATGCCAACGTATGAGCTTGTTTTTCGTTAACATGTGTCAAAGTAATTAATTTGTGTTGTGTTAAAAAAACCCCTGTAGGCCCTACAACTTAACATAAAGTAATAAGTAATTTATATAGCCCCAGGATGCATTACAAGACAAAGTTTTTATTTATTGAAAGTTTTACCTAAACCAAGCAAGTCATGTCGCGATTTGCCTGATTGATGACCTAAGGTCGGGAGTAGTGCAGGGTCGCTAAGGTCACAGGAAGCACCAATAAAGCCTGGGACAGGTCAGGGTGTGTCCTCGGCACCACTCCCTGGCCCGCCACGCTACAGTTACTATATGTGTGATACAATAATTATATGTTTTTAAGTGTCATTTGTATTTTAAAGTATTTCATAAGGGAACGGTTAGAATTCTGATCTTGTTTGTATTTAAAACTACCTTTTGTTCAACAGATAGACTAATGACACAATAGAGATGTTATCATATTAATTTACTTAAATTATACTGATTGGCAACCTCTAAAGTAGCTCTTTGAGTTGAGCGAAGCTCTTAGGGATCTACTTGAATACAAACTTTCTAACAATATCACTCAATAACGGCTGAACATATTTTAGCCAAACGTACCAAGGTTGTTTCGAAAAATAGTTGGACAATTTCAATTTTTGATAGTGCCTAAATATAATAAAAGTAGCTCAGTTTTTAAATTTTTACATTGGCCTTTGACGGTCAATGGCCATTGTGGTTACAAAATAACAATATGTAAATGTAAACAAAACAAAGAATCATAGTATGTGTTTAAAATCAAGGCAATATACGACCTAAACACAGTACAAAGGGTAAACAGGGTTTTTTCCATCAGCAGGCCTGCCTATGTTTTCTTTTACATTACATGTAAAACGTTATATACTTCTGATAATGTTTTTATTTAGCATTAGGTTTTTTTCCATCAGCTAATCAGGCCTGCCTATGTTTTCTTTTACATTACATGTAAAATGTTATATACTTCTGATAATGTTTTTATTTAGCATTAGGTTTTTTTTCCATCAGCTAATCAGGCCTGCCTATGTTTTCCTTTTACATTACATGTAAAATGTTATATACTCCTGATAATGTATTTATTTAGCATTAGGTTTTTTCCATCAGCTAATCAGGCCTGCCTATGTTTTCCTTTTACATTACATGTAAAATGTTATATACTTCTGATAATGTTTTTATTTAGCATTAGGTTTTTTTCCATCAGCTAATCAGGCCTGCCTATGTTTTCCTTTTACATTACATGTAAAATGTTATATACTTCTGATAATGTTTTTATATAGCATTAGGCTTTTTCTTTTAAGCTTTGTTAATACTTTTAAACAATATAAATCCCCCTTTTGTGTATATTACTGATTTTATAAGTGATTTACAAAATCTTCCGAAGTCGGTCATTGACTGGCATAGGACTGGTCATTCACTGGCACAGGACTGGTCATTCACTGGCATGATATCGATCATTTACTGGACTCATGACTTTGGTATATAAAAAAAAAACAATTTTTACATGCATAATTGATTTTTTATGGACAATTTATAATATAAGGCAAACCCTTAAATAGCAACCATGGTTAAAAATACTTTGTCGTTGAATCGTTTGCTCGGCTGCACGGATCAGTAACGAGGCAATGCACTTTCATTCTATATACGCCCGTGGATAATTCTTTAATTAATATTCATTGTATATTTTCCATGTGAATAAACCAATCGAATTATCTTCATACTTGACATTCTTAAAAATAGACCAAATATGAGTAAAATATTATTTTCTCTTTGATAAGATACAAAGGTGTATTTTACACTACAAAAGTGACACCGTGATCCCGATTAAAATTGTCTTAAAATTTTTACACACGTTAAATTGAGACATATTACATTACTTGTGAACAGTCGCGCGACATGGTAAACGTAACCGGTGCACCGAAATTCCCCCGCATACCATCTCGACACCGACCGTGAATGCCTTAAGACCTATAATAACTTTTATGCCTATAATCATTCCGTTTTATCAAATTGCATCTGCATCTTCATACCCTAGGCCCCAGGCCGGAACGTGTCGGCCTTAGTCACTAACAAGACTACAAGATCGCGCCACTCATCCTTCACTCATCCTTCACTCGTATTTGGGTTAATACGCTCATAGTGGGGTCCCCATCTTAAATAATTGATATTTGCCTGTGTATTCAGGATTGGGCCTATACATGCTGTACTATATAACCTTCCAAAAACCTTTCCACTTGCTTTACTTTAACGATTAAATTGACATTAAATTTGACAGAGTGTAGAGGGAAACGATTTTTTTCGTAGTTTATCTAGTTACTCCCTTATCTGCCTGGTTTACCGCTTGCTTTGTCAAATATAACTCCCAGTTATCCGTCCCGGTCAGGTCGGATAAGCGCGAGTGCGAGACGGCGAAACTCTGACGTCACGTGGCCATGAACACGTCCACTTTCACTGCTTAATGCTTGACTTGTATCACTGACTGTTTCCGGTGCAGGTCTAGGACCTACTGCTTCCGGTGAGCAAGGTGGTAACTCAAAGACATTGTTGCGAATGAAGCTTGTAACCAAAACCAAGGCCAAGGTTTTGATTTGAATAGCTATAGTGCTCGCTTAGCAACCAAGAAGCAAGAGGTTTGATCGTAGAAAGAACCAAAATTCAAACTATTTCCATGCTATAGTATAAATAGTAATCAATTTTCATAAGAGCACAGATTAAAGAGTAGAGTAGAAGCATAGATTATGTAGTAATATTACTTCTATGGTAGGAGTCTACTCTTTTCTTTAATCTGCGATAAGAGCCAAACCCCACTGCATCGCTGACCTCCCAAACACGTTATAGCCTACAAATGTTCAACCTTATCAACAACGAGGAGGGGAATTGAAGTAGAAGCATTGATTATGTTCTCAGAGGTCGTTGATGTTTAACATTGACCATGTCCCACTGTTGTCATGCAGCCCACACCTCTCGTAACGTTAATAGCCTCAAGGTCAAGTTGTACTTTATCGCCTTCTTCAGCACCGTTTTCCTTGTCACCGATACTAATGTTTACTGCCATCTTGTTGCCATGCAGTCAATGGTTCTAACAAGAATACTCTGTAGGATGTTTTCGTTAGAAACAGCTCTTTGAGTTGTAAGCTGGAAAGATTACAAGTTATTTTACTTTACGTCTATCTGTCTTTATTTTTAAGTTATGATAGGAATTTATTGAACTTTATAATGGTTATGGTCTGTGGATTACCAAAGACGATTGAAAACTGTGTGAATATAGTTGCTTACGGTAATGGTAAATTGCACTAAGTAACTAGTTGCGATACCAAAAGTGTACATTGTTCAGGCTTTGTCAGGATAGATGTGTATTTTAGCCACAATCTTTTCGATGACATAAACATCCAACTTTTCAAACCTAGGCTATGTTGATAGTTTTGATACGTTAAAGCATTCTACTATTTCCATTCGATTACTAAACGAAAGAGTAGTTGAAATCGTCTCCCATAATATATTGACAAACTCTGCTCTGAGCTCATGTCGAAAAGGCACTCTTGGCCCGTGTGATGAACCACATTTTCTATCACTCTCACACTGCACTATTCTTTAAGCCAACTAATTCTCAAAACTAAAATTGTGTATTTTTGGATCTATCTTTATAACTTAGTTCCCATAATAGTTAATTTTAATCTTATTTGCTATACAAACTTACAACTGTTGTCTGTTACTGCGATCTATTCAACCACTGTATTTCACAAGTTATAACATTTTCTGATTTCATCTAACTGATTGTTTCCTAACGCTAGAAATACAGTAAATGTAATTAATTAAGCCCAGCAGCATTAAAACAACCCTTTTGCTACAGTGCGGCAAAAATTATCTCATATGAATTGAAAGGTAGAACAATTATTTTCATATCAATGTTACCTACAGTTATTTAAATCTAAAATATGCAATAACTACTCACGATATAGTTTATATTTAGTTCTCGAGGTTGCAACAGTAGACTGTCAATATAAGACAGTAGAAACATAAGAAGTGGCTTAATTAACACACACTTGAGCAATATCAGATTATAATGTAGATTGTTTAGACACATTATCAGCGGCGAGTTCAACTTGTTTATGTTGAGCAAAACTGACAATGTCACGTAATTTAGGGGGATTTAGAAAGAATTTGGTTAAAGGAATTTGTCAAATGGGTTGTACCATAGCTGTAAGATTTGGTAGTACACGTATTTTCCCCATTTAATTCATACAGTACCATGAACGTGCTAAATAATCTTAATATTTTATCTGTGTCAACTTTACCTGAAATCAGCATTGGTTTTAAAATAAGAAATTATTCATGTTGAAAGCTTATTTTTTTAACACAATAATATTGTTAACATATTATGTTAACAAAAACCTGTAACTTTATTTTATTTCATGAACAGAACAGAATTGTTTGGATAAAACCTAAACCAAAACATTTGCAGATGACTAATCTAAATCATTTAAATAATCAGTCGATATAAAGACAATTTGAAAGAAAAACATTTTACCAACAATAAAATTGTTGCGTAATATTATTTATTTATGAATCATTTTCTCTTATATTGAACATGTCTTTCTTATATACTTAAACTATAGTTAAGGTAAACCATATACAATATAAGGGTTTGCTAATTGTATCCAAGCACAAATGGTAAGTTTATCATATCAAGAAATAAAAAAATACATATGGCATGTTTTAACCAATTGACGTTGGGCATTGGTAGTAAAAAATACAGTTAACTTACCTGATCCAATACTATGTATGTTTAACTGTGCTTTGGTAGAATAGTGAGAACATTTAGTCTTTACCTCGCGGAAATTCCCGGAAAATATCGAAAGTGATTTAGATAAGCAAAAGAGCAGATAGCAAATTATGGAAAATTTGAAATATTATGGAAGATTTTACCTTAAACCTTTCATCTAAAGTGAGAAATTGAAAGTAATTAAACACTTTGACCGTTTTATCAATGGTAACATTTAACAGTAAATATATATCTTTTAAACAAATACTCAGATGCAAAAATATCTATGTTAATCATACTTCTGATCTGGTGGTCTATAACTTATTTTAGCCTCATAAAATAACAAGTTTGCATAATCCTGACTCACGCGGAAATTTTAACAGTTTCTATTGCTCTAGAAATAACTTAATTGGATAGGAGTTTAAGATGAGTAGGTAAATAATTTATTAAAGGAAGGATGTAAATATTCAAACTAACCATATTGTTTTCGCAAGAAAATGAGTTTCGCAAGAAAACGAGTCTCACAAAACTCAATCTCAGTTTAAATTAATCGATTTAAATTAGAATCTTGAACAAAATCATAACATACAAATGCAAAGTTTAGACTTCATCAGCTGCGCCCCTCAATATTGGAAAGTATTAAGAACTTCAATAAAATTGTTGTAAGACCAATATTACTTTAATCTAGTCTTGAATACACTTAAAATGTCGTCCATAACTTTAAGAACTTCTATTCTGTAGACAGATTATATCGGTATTAATTTTAGTTGTAGGTGAAAATGTCTAGAATCACAAATACACTCAGGAACTATTTACTATATACCGCACTATTGCAGAAGAGAATTAACTTTGTTCAAATTTGAACTCCCTGCTCTAAAGGATCAAGGTTCCAAACCAATCAGGTATATCAATGAAATAATGGTAGTGTATTTGATAGCAAACAGTGCATTCAGTTTACAATAAAGTATTTTTCCAAAAAATAAAATATATTGAATGGCCCAATGGCCGAACGGAGACCGTGTACAGTATTAATTTACATGTAACAAATTTGATCATTTACCGTATATGGATCATAAAAATAATTTACTCTCTCTTGACTAAATCAATATACCAAAATAGTATAAACTGTAATGTTTTTTGACATTGGGCATTGTGGCACTAAATTTTAACATTGAACACTGTGTGGCTTTTCAAATAGGAAATTGTCGAACTGGCTTCTTAAGATTGGAAACTGTGGAATTTGCCTATAGTAATAGCGTAGCCCATTTTGGAAATGCATTTTACAACTGGCTTTTGACATAGGAAATTATATAACTGGATTTTATAATTGGACAATATAGCACTGGCTTTAAGATATTGGACTCCTCTGTTGCACTGGTTTATAACATTGAACATGATATTATTTTATCTAAGTACAGCCATCCTAATTCGTGCGTTGAAAAATCACTCTCGTGCGTCTTAAAATGATGCAATAAAACATTAACTCGTATATTACGCTTTGCCTAAAGTTATTGAAATTACGGGTTTGACCTCAGTAAAGTACAAAATTAGGCCCATCATTTTAAATCGGATATTTGCTTGTACTCAAATTAGCAGGGCTTAAACGATAAAGAGAAATAGAACGGTGTCTTATCTCTAAGTTGTTGTTACGTACTTAGCAGCTGTTTAGCTTCAGTTGTTAATAAGAAAGTGCTCAATAAATCCACAAAAGTAAAGAATTGATTATGTACCTATAAGAAATATAACCTAAGGAATCCAAGCGGTACCGGTACTTACTTTTGACTTTTTCTTACTTACCGTACACTTCTTTAAAGTGAAATCTTATTTCCTATTATTATAATCTTATTTCATCTCCAGGATTATTTATCGTAGAAAGCACAGAATAAGTTTGTTGGTCATTATGGATGAAGTAAAAACAAATCACTCGGATTTGAGAAATAAATATTTGTTTGTTTTGATTAATTTAACTCTCGTGTTTCAGCTGATCGAATAACGTAAATAAAAATTTCAAGTTTAAATTACTTGCAGAATGATATAATAATGTCGTTTTTACGAAAAAATACTGGAAAATGATGTGATTAGTATACTTTTCTAGGGTAGTTGTAAAAAAAGCTTTTAACTGACACCTCATTTGTGCAATTTGCTTGTTTCAAGTTCAATCACGCAATAGGACTAACTACTGGACGGATTGGGTTGAAATTGTGCATGATGATAGCTCACATTCCCGATTAACATATTCCTATTCTTATCTCAAAAGTCCTTTCGAGCTACTGCCCCCAGTGGCTCTGTAGTTGTTCCCCATATTGAAAAGGAATTAAAGAATTTAGTCAGCTGTTTCAACTCAAAAAGTTGGTTCTATGATATGCAATAGCATTAAAAAGTTATAAGGCTTGCCAACAGAGTGCACCACTATTATTTTTTGGCATTTATGGCAACAGCCAAAGCTGTGATACACAATGAGAACTATCAAAGTTGGATTGTTTACAGTTGTGTTTATGTTTTAATTTTATGAATAACTTGTGATATTATACGAATGTTTGATAATTTATTTTTCTATTGTTTAGGCGCAATAGAACATTATGGCTATGGTAAATTTCCTATTTTACTATTTAATTATACTATTAGCATACCGTAAATTTAGAGAACCAAATGTCACCAAACTGTGTCCTCTCCCATTGCAAGCGCAAAGCTTGAGTATAACTGCATTAAGAGTTTTATACTTATATGCCAACCCCGTGCGAAGGACGGGTAGGCCTACTCTGCTAGTTAAAGTATATATTTATATAGATGTTAGATGTTATTAACACCATATGCAAATAACTATATTGAAGTAATACATTGACTGACTTAAAGCATAGATATAACATACACCGTCAATACGATGCCGTAACAAAATTATAGAACTTGATTTTTCAACTTCGATACTACCCTCGATCCCTTAATTGTTTAGATGTAAGTTGATAAGTTAATGTAACTGTCAAATTCTTATAAACAAAACAAACCATCTGTGAAGGCTAAACTGTTAACAAATTAAATCTCTATAAGTTGGATGGGCATTAAAAATTACAAGATACTTTATTTGCCACAAAATCGAGACGTTTTTACACTTTAATGCTGGATCTCAAACGGTCATTCGTTAATTCGTTTGAAATAATACACATGTTAATATTAGGTACTGGCGTATTTTAATCTGTTTATTTAGGCTAACCCGTTGGATAAACTTAATGGGAAGTTCTTAATATACAGTTATAAATATAAAAACGGAAGTACAGTATACCAAAACAGGCTGTACTTAATTAAATTTAATTCCTTATGATTTTTCTGTGTTAACAGTCTTTAAAAAAATAACTAACTTGATATCCATGTGCCGTTGAACACATCGGGTGAAAAACGGTGGTGGAGAGCGTCCTCAAAGGAGACTGGGTATTTTTTCTCAGAGAACACTGTCCCAAAAACACAACACAAAAAAATCACCGCATGGATCTTCATGTTTTAGCGAGTGAATCGGCGCGCTAACGCTAACACACTGAGTTACTGACAGCTGGAACTGACCAGCTGATATTTCCCGCCATGCCGCGCTAGTGCTGTTGGTCAGCTGATCGGTGACATAACCTAACTCTCGACTGTGGCGTAACTCTCAAATGTCACACGACGTTTTACAGATTGACTTATTGTCAATATTTATTGGAAACCTGTAAATCTATTTTGAGCTTCGCAAACAAGATTTTCAATTTAACTTTGAGTTATGAGTTAGTTATATTTGCGTAAATAAATGTTTGGGATGAATTTATGTTTGTTTTTTTTTTTTGTTTAGTCCTGGAAGTCTAAACTACTACACTGTCCGATCTGCGTCCAACAAGCTATTTGTTCGGCAGTCTCTTGACAATCATGTAAAGTTAAATAGAGATATGCGAAAAACCACTTGAAGTTTGCTGTATGGTTCTTCTACATTTTAAAGTGAATTGGGAACACCTGTTGTACCCGTATAGCCGAGAAAATACATATGGTGTTTCTCTTCTTACAGTGATCAGTAATTTGTACCGTAGTTTTTATAACAAATATTTTGATTTTTACAACATGTGGGTGGATTTTATACATCTCATACATTAAACGACGCCCCCACCGCATCAAACCTGCAGACTAAGCGAATTTGCATTTAGTCTACCTGATTGGATTTTCATTTAAATATATTTAAATAACATTAGGTTTAACAAGTACCAATGATTTCTGTTACAGGGAGGGAAATAAAGTGTGTGTTTAGTAAAATATAGCTTAGTATAAAATACATATGTTTGCCACTTCTAATCAAAATATATCCATATACAAGCAAACTACAACAGTTTATTTATCCTCCATAAGAATGACATGAGAATTTCAAATTTCTCAAATTTTCTCCGCGAACCAATAACTCTAAAAACAATTCAATATACTAAATTATTTGTGTTTTAATCTCTTTAAAAAGGTTTAAAGAGAAATTAGAAAATTTTATGTTTTGAGGGTCAAAAACTAGAGAACCAATTTTACCCCATAAACTTTTGAACGAACAGTGTTTTTGGCCTCTGGGGACATCAAAATGAAATAGTAAATCGGTCCCGGATTTAGGTCTTACCGTGCCACCTAAGTAATAGCTACTTAATAAAGAGAAATTCGCTAAAAGTTCTAGTATAATAACACAAATCTAAACAATGTTGTTTAAATTAGTAAACTCAATAACTTTATTTCTTTATAATAAGTCCAAGATAACGAGATTTATCTTGGCCTTTAGATATTTTTGACAATTTATTGAAGCCTTACAACGGTTGTAAATTGGTCATATTGTTTATGTGTTATTATTCGGAGTGAGTGATTATAGCTTTATTTTTTCCTAAATATATGCTTAACAATATAAATAATTTAAAAAATTGTTAAATTATAGATTATGTTAACACTCCATATACTCATACATTGCTCAACATAGTATGATTTTTCATAATGCATCAAACACGAAATACGAAATAGTGAAATTTAACTAGATTTATGTTCAAAGTCTTTATTAACAAATAGTCCATGTCTAACTATGTATTTTTGCATCTTCGAAACCATCCATATGTATTTACAATAGCTATTTTTATTATGTAAAACATAATAATATTAATATCATACCAATTGACGTTCGATTATGTTTAAACTAATTTAACAAATTATAATTAGCTGCTTTATTAGAATACTGTCAAGTTTAAAATACTATAAACATGTTGAGAAATAATCATATAGTTGCGTTACAACTGTAAGGTACTCGCCCGTGCCGTGCCCAATCTTCTTTTCCAATTGAGTTTAGACTCTCACGTAAAACCATTTACTGAAACTGAACAATGCCATTGGCTTAAATACACGTCATACAAATTCTCATCTTTATGAGCAGCACAAGGCCTGTTATTTTTCATCTCTGCAATGTTTTAGAGTGATTTCTGACTAACTATTTGATCCTAGACCAAGAGACAAGCAATGGTGATTAATGAATTGCTATATTTAGTTACACTATTATAAATTTGTTTTAATAACCACAAGACCAGTATTAGACATCAAATCTCCGTCCACATTTACCGGATAGTAGCAAACTTGAAATTGTTTTAGTGGATCCACAAGGACGATCATTTAAAAGAGAGCATGTTTAATCGTTGGGAGAACTGTCGAAAGCGAAGATGTTGCCACTCTATCCTAGTTATCATTATTCATCACCAAACAAATCGTGTGAAAAATAAATTACGGGAGATTTACTAGTTAAGGAGCCCAACTTTACATTTAAATTAATTATCGACTAGAATAACATTTTTTTAGTAAAAAATATGCAGCTTTTCTGCAAAATCGTACTTAGATACTTATATACCAAATTAAAAATATTTTTAAGCTTTTAATATTAAATAGCCATATTGTATTATAAAATTGAACATAATACCAACCAGGGTAAAAATAAGTACCCCAACCAGCATTTTAAAACTAGTTTTTCCATGTTGTATTAGTTTATTAAGAGATGTTTTTTTTTAGGGTGAGGAGGGAAAATGCTTTTACGCACATAGGTGGCCAGCCTGTAGTGTGAGACTCCTGAGTTTATCACAGACTACTCACTAAAAAACCCCCTCTACTCTGTTGGACACAGACCTGGAATTGTTTGTCACATTACTTCAAGTCAGGCCAACATGTGACCTAAGCCCACAGGGCTCGCACCGTTTCTGGCATTATTTATTTTTTTGACCTACATTAAGAGATGTAAGTTATCATAAGATACAATTAATCCGTTTATCTTTATAGATTGATAACCAAGCAAGAAGTTGTGTTAAACTTTCTCTTTCATACTTTTAATTTAGGAGTCATTTGCTTCCTATGCAAAACTTACGGAGTAAACTGTGACCGATTTTTAGAAAAAATGTTTATTCATATTTATTTAACTAATACACCGTTAAAAAGACATTTCATCGATAACAATAATATAAACTAGAGGTCGTCCAGTGGTCGAAAACTCGTCCAAAATATATGTAATAAACAGTCACTATTTCCAACCCCTTAATAAAACATGTGATTAGAATTTCTTCCATTTGTTTTGATTTTCTGTTTATATTTCATAGTTATTTCGTCACGAGCATGGCAACCCATAAATAAGACCCAAGTTAATTTTTTATAATTTTTTAATTCATTTTTCGTGTTTTTTTTTACGAAAAACGATGCACGCGAGCTGAGAAAAAAGGTTGCCGAGAAACATGCTTGCCTATTAATATAGATTGTTTGTTACTGTATAGTATAGATTGTTAAAAACAACACAAACTTATTCGCAAATGAAACTACAGTATAACTTGTGCCGAACAATACGAAATTTGTCATAAATAATTGAACAAGTGGTTATACACATGGTCAAAACAAATTGACGCTTTCGTTGATATCTGATATCCATTCAATTTGAGATGATTTGATGGCCTTTGCTCACGGACCATTCACGTTAACAATGACATACGTGATACACCGTATGTGCGAATGTAGTGCGGCAACAAAAACGTGTTTAAACAATATTTTTGGATTTTTGTATTTTAAAAAATGAACGAAAATATCATATCATAAATATAGTTAAATAACTCAACGACCCATGATGTTTAAGGGTTACAGTATTTTTTACCGTATCAGAAAGACAAAACAAGATAATAAAGGGCATTTCATCCCAGGGAGCCAACTTATTTTATAGCGAATTTCCCATGTAGGGAATAAGCTATTACCGTAGTACTTACTTTCCGTGTCCGGACTGACTGATTAAATAATCTTCTTCCAAAATCTAGCAGCTTGAATAGCTGTCCATGTTGATTACCGTAGTACTCATGGTAAGACCTGGACCCGGGGCCGATTTACATTTTCGTTTTGAGGTCCTAAAAGAGAGAGGCCTAAAACACCGTCCGTTCAAACTCATATATATATTTATGAATTATTGTGAACATAACTTAAAAATATACTGTATATTTATATATGTGTGTCCGTTGGGACGATAACTCGAACAAAAATGGTCCGATTTTGATGAAATTTGGTATAAACGTGTAAACCTACTTTTATTCGCGAACTAGCATGATCGGACTATGGGAACGGGGGTTTATGGGGGGGGGTTATGGGGTAAAAATAGCTTTTTCCCATTTTCGACCCTAAAAACACAAAATTTCACAATTTCTTTCCAAACCGTTTTGTAGAGCTTACAAAAACAATTAATTTAGTATAGTGAAGCGTTGTTGTGCGCCTTTAATGCTTACGGAGAAAATTCAAAAAAAATTGTAAATTTAAAATCCCTACGTTATTCTTATGGAGAATAAGTCAACAGTTGTAGTTTGCTTGTTTATGAACATGTTTTGATAGAATTTGGAAAATACATTCATTTGTTACTAAACTATTAACTTTTTACAATAAAAAACCCTTTTTTTACCCTCCCTGTTGCAGCAAACCTAAGTACTCGTTAAACCGGATTCTATTTAAATAGGGAATAAATGTGATATTTGTAGGGAGGCATTTTAGTGTAAATCCAATCAGGCTAATGGAAATTCATTTCGTCTGCAGGTTTGCTGCGGCGGGGGTATTATTAATTTTTAACGTTATTTTTTCTAGGAGTTAAAAAAATCTTATTACTTTTTTATTTCATCTCTTGCTCCTTAAACTAAGCTAATTCATGTTCAAGGCCCACCTCTAGCAGCTCAACACTATTGAACACATTTCAAGTGGGCCAAACACACGGTCAAAACAAATGTAAAACGCTTCCCTTGATATGTGATATCCAATCGATTACCGACGACCTTTGCTCGTAGACCATACACGCTATGAGGACACGCGACACGACCAAACACGGCAAAGTTGCATTGCTGTCATCGACCATTGGTCAGTGGTCACTCCTTCCGCGATTGCTGTACACTGCACGGCAGGCGCTTATTTACCTATGCAGCCTCAGTGAACGTTAGGAGGTTGTAAATATGGCCGACGAAGTGACGGAATACACCGCTATGCAAGAAAGTATTTTCAACATGGACAACTTCGTCGTAGAAAAGTTGATAGGCAAGGGACAGTTCAGCTGTGTTTACAAAGCCAAAGTGAAGACTGGTGAACATAGGACGGTGGCGCTTAAGAAAATACAGATATTTGACATGGTGGATGTTAAGGCTAGATTGGACTGCATGAAGGAGATAAATTTATTGCAGGTATAAAGTTTCGTCGCTTGTTTATAAACCTACAGCTTGTACGGCGTTCAGCAAAAAATTGTTTATAACTAGATTTGCTAGAAACTAAATCGCTGGAACTTTTTGAGTTAAGAACTAAGTTCGAATGAAATAGTATTAATAATTGAATACTGCGTTTATCGCTTCATTTTGTCAACAAATAGTTTTCTTGTAGATTTCTCAAAGTAAAATTTTACTAAGACACTTGATTACATTCTACGAATATAAATACATTAATATATAGAGTTAAATACTAGTCATAGTTATAACTACGAATATAACTATGAGCAAATTAATTTTCCTACTGATAACTATCTACATTAAGATAACTAAGACACCTCATTATTTCCCCACAAAATTGAAAGAAAAGGCGATGTTTTTCATATTTTATTCAATAACTAAATTGGAAATAGTCATAGGTTTTAATTATATTATTTAGGAATTGTAATAATTATCCTTATACAAGTAACAACAATTAATTTAATATAAAACCAACTATACTTCCAACATTTTGCTTAAGTAAAAGTGTGGTTAAGTTGTAATCATGACATGTTCATCTTTAGTATTAAATTAATGGTGTAAAACAATGACATAACTTGATTCAAATCCAAACCGGTTTTAAAAGGTTCAGGAACAATAAATAAATAAGGTCTTTATTCATGAGCGAATTTCAGTTCATCATCAGACAATCTATAGTAGGGTGTGTGTTTGTGTGTGTGGATTTGTACAGGATCTACAGACACCCATGTAGTATGTTTTTTTATTATTTACTTAATTTGGTATGTGGATACTTATCTATTATCTCATTACTCTTTTTCCTTTTTTTAACATTTTTGTGTTAAATTTTCTTATAAAAATAGTCTGATTTCATAAAAAGGGGTATAATGATTTTGATTAAAATTTAGAACATTTTTGTGGTTAGATATAAGTCCCTTTAACCGTAAACAAAATAGCACAACTCCCAACGCTGGTAATTTTAAGTTACATTTCAAAATTTATGAAGATTTTTGTGATTTTCGTTATATAAACTCGTAGTTTCTCCTGCTTACCCATTAAAATTCGGCTAATGGGAGAGAAAGCATGTGTCAGTTTGCTGATGCCATTTATTTTAATTCGGACAACAGCCTTTTTCTTCTTTTTTTTACAACATTTATTTCTGGTTCAATATTACATTAGTCACAGAAGTTTTAACAAAATAAAAAATAAAATAACACAAATAATAACATTGCGGGTTCGCTCAAACTTGAGACAGCCTGTAACATAGTAAAGTTAGATGCAGGTCACATGTTCAACTTTCTTTAGGCTTCGTCCAACAAGAAGTCCTCGGGAAGCCTTCGGCGCAATCTTCTATTTTCTTTTGTTTTGCAAAGATTGAATGCCAGTGCTCCAGTAACATTGAACAGAGAATTTAGAAATTTGGTGGATGTTTCAATGAAGGTCGAGACAGACTCTATTCCAATCTCTTCGAGTATGTGTTTATTTCTAACTAAAACCAAGGAGCATTCACTGCTATTCTAAGAATTTTATTTTAGATTACTTGAATTTTGAACTGTTCATTTTTTGAAATAGCTGATCCCCAGAAAGGTGATCCATATGTTATTAACGGCTGAATTATTTATGTATAGATTAAAACTGCATAAGCTGGTTTTAGAGTAGATTTTCTATTTATCAAAGGAAAAAAGCTTTACAAGGCGTACATAACCTTGGGACAGTTTTTTTTATTAACGTGGTAGTTCCAATTAAGTTCTTTGTCCAGCCATACTCCAAGATATTTTATGGTCTGGTCATCAGGGTTCCACGGTAGAAAGTTACCATATATTTGAACTTCATGTGGCAATGTAGGTTTTTTTCAAGGAAAATATTTTGGTCTAATTAGTTGAATTTAGTTGAAATTTCTACTTGTAGAACCAATCAATGAGAACGGCCAAAGAGTATTGTAGAGAATATGTGGCCTCGTGGATGTCGGAAAAAGGTATTTTCACATTGATATGATAAGAAATACTTATTACTATTTTGTAATTTTCCTTGGCAGCAAATGGACCACCCCAACATCATCAAGTACTACGCATCCCTGATAAAGAACAACGAGCTGGTGATTGTCTTGGAGCTAGCAGAGGCCGGGGACTTGGCTCGGATGATCAAGTACTTCCGAAGACAACGGCGGCTCATCCCAGAGAGAACTATCTGGAAATACTTTGTACAGATCTGCAGTGCGGTCTCCCACATGCACTCCAAGAGGATCATGCACAGAGGTAAAACATATACCCCCTCCACAGGAAACCTGCAGATTTAGTCAATTTCCGCCTGGCTGGAATTCAACTGAATTATTCCTTTAAAATTGTCAGATTTATTTGCTATTTAAATATCACTAGATAACCCGTTACTCAACATTGAGCAAAACTGCACCTTGTAATCAAACAATAAAGAATCATGAACAATAAACTCTCCCTTGTTTGCTCTGCATGGAGATTGGAAATATCCAGAAACCTCTCTCTTCTTATTGGCCACTTTCCCTTCACTATAAACCCACCAGCCACCCTATAAAGAGGAGAGATCACTCAAATAATTTTAAAACATATAAATTCAGACCCATTTTTCACATGGGCATGCTGAAATTCAAACCTCCAATATCAAAGATATCATAACCAGATGCTAAATGTTTAGCTTATGAAAATTGCACTCTTTTTCATATCCCCCAAATTCGCAAATTTCTATAACTATAGTTATTTCTTCAACACTCTACAGCATACAATCAGATTATTTATCACTTCTAAGATTTTTCCATCTTCAACCATAACTATTACTTTTTCCTACAGTTACCTAACAATGTACATGTTCCCTCACTGATTTGAGAAAGCAAAGTGGCCAATTCGCTCATCAGTGAGACAATGTTAACATTGTCTCACTCTAACTACTTTGTCTCACTCCAGATTTGCAACGAGAAGGCACGAAATAGTGAGCGTGTAACATGCAGGCAACGTCGTATGCGCGCGATATACGTTGGCAGCACTGGCTGTAAATCAGCTGGTCAGCTGTTGTACTGTTGTATTTGTCACAACACATTAAATGTTATATTAAAAGTTCACTTCTGTGTAAAAATAGGTTATGTTTCTTCACCAATTTATTTGTTTTATGGTAACTGTAGGAAAAGTATAATGTGCAACTCGAGTTCAAAGTACAATTGCCTCACTCGAGAAACCATTCCTCACTCGCCTACGGCTCGTGAGTAAGGATTTCTCTCGAGTGAGTCAATTGCTCACTTTTCTCACTAGTTGCACAAATAACTATTCTACAAGATCCTAAACTGAACTGAACATTTCTCTTTCAGACATAAAACCAGCAAACGTTTTCATCACCGCAGATGGCACAGTTAAGCTCGGTGACCTAGGTCTCGGTCGCTACTTCAGTGCCAAGACTATGGCAGCACACTCTATGGTTGGAACTCCGTACTACATGAGTCCTGAGCGAATGCAGGAGTGTGGTTACACCTTCTCTAGCGACATATGGTCCTTGGGTTGCTTACTGTATGAGGTAACCTGGAGATTGTTTTAGATTTGTTAGGTGCAGTTGCAGAAATAAAGCTCTCCGAGGAGGACTGGCAGAACATTTCAGGATAAAATCTTTCTTAAACAAATAACCTCATATACTTAACTTCCCATTCAATAGTTTTTTGTGTAACTAGTGGGTAAAGTGGCACTTTGCTGCACACGAGAGCAATGTTTACACGAGCCGCAGGCGAGTGCGGAATGATCTCGAGTGCAGCAAAGGCCTTTTGCACTAGTGTTACACATAATATTTTTCCTACAGTCACAACATAGCTTCTTGAGAGAAATTACTAATAGGTATGGAGAGAGGTCTGTAATACTAACATTGTAAAATGAGACGTCAGATAAACTGTTCAGTGTAAAAACAATGTGGTATTGAATTTACCAGCTTGGAGTCAGAAGATGATGAATAATAATGACCTAATAAAAACATCATGTAAATATTAAAATCTTGTTAAGTTTTTTTTCTTATGAATTTGTGCAGAGATTATTTATTAAATGATATTTTAAAATGTGTATAATGAACATTTTTATCTAGTAAACATGATTCCAAAATTAACCAGCAAATTTTATCAAACAGAATAAAACGTTTTAGGCCTTATACTGCATTGATACAGTTAAACTGTATCAAACTTTTGGCAAACAAAAGTTGGTACTATAAATTTAATTTAAATTTGAGTGTGAAATTTCAGTCAATGAATAAAAAAAGTCAAAAAGGGTTTAGATCTGTTTAGCAGTGGATTGAAATTAAATTAAATGTAAAATTTTAATGCATTTTTTTACTGCTACCTTCTGTAGTGTATTCCAACTTAGGTTGGGCATTTGTGTATTGTTAGTTGTAATGTGTTAGGTAGTTAAGTTTTTTCACCTGAGGACGGGATCAGATTCCAGATCCCGAAATGTATTGTTTTTTACAATCATGATGGAAAATGTCCGCAATAAACCTTTGAACAAAATGTAAATTTGTTTTGCAGATGGCTGCACTTCAATCGCCGTTTTACGGGAATAAAATGAATTTGTTTACGCTATGCAAAAAAATTGAAAGATGTGAATACGCTCCAATCCCATCAGTTGTATATTCTATGCAGGTGCGTAATTGAAAATTTCAAGGGTTATATATTATTTAAGGAATTCCAGATACATGTAGAAAAATTATTTAAGAGATTATTTATGCAGATCTATTATTCATTATTTAAGAACCAGTCAGACATATATATTCTCAGTTCCTGGCCCTGGTTGTCACTTTAAAATGGAACGCATATTACAATTCCTTGTTGTAACATGAATAGGTCTAGTGACCACGTATATAAACTTGGTATAAAATGTTAGCACAGTCAATTCAGTTGTTATTACATTTGACTAGAACACAGCACTCTACCTAGACCTAGACAGCATAGCATTTGATTATCTACATAGGGTTTTGGCTTTAGCATACAATGTATCAAAAACTACCGTTAAAACAAATCAAATGTTTCCTGATGTAAATTTACACCTTTCTAGATGCAGAAGCTAATCAAAGAGTGTATAACAGCTGACCCATCTAGACGGCCAGACATTTCTCATGTTCACGGAGTTGCACAGACGATGCACGAGAAAAACATTTTTAGACACCCGGCCGCTCCTCACTCCCTCCCGCCTTCCTCTGTCTCCATCAGACGAGTTCTTCAGTCTCGATGTTCTAACAAATGATTCTCATTTGATCGTAAGGCCTAACTGATGTCTCCTGTCACCAATTTTTTGCACTTCAGTCAAACAATGTTGGTTTTGCGCAAGTGTTCTGTTGAGTGTTGGTGCTGAGAAGACTTTCTGGGAGAAAGTGTTGCTACCAAAAGCTGTTGTTTTTAGTGTAATCATTACTACTGTAAATTATTTTACTGTTTGAAGGAATGCAATGTAAATTATTTTTGTAGAGAAAAAGTGAAAATGTTAAATATAGGTAGTGTAAAATTTAATTACTTTAACTATGCTTTTGCTAGCTTTTAGAGTTGCATTAAGATTAATGTTTTAAAATTGTATAAAACCTTTTTGCAAATAAATATTTAACGTATCAATATTTTACCTAAAAGGTTATTATGCTGTGTCAAGTTGTTAATGTTTTCACAGAGAAGTAAGAAACAGAGGATACATTCAATGGTACACTTAAGTAAAGTCTAGCACCAGTCGCTGGTATCTAGAGCAAATTCAATTCATCGTTCCCTCCCGCTCTCCTTTCCCCCTCGTCATCACGTACTACAGCGCTCATGCTGTAGGAAGACCCTGTGCGCTACAACTGCTGTACAACAATGCTGTGTGTCCATCGCTGTTCGGGCTCTTCCTTCAGTACAAGTACTGTACATTTACAATACAACATACCAGAGCTAAAAGCACACAGATGTCCCATAAGCTACTTGTATCCTCTCTATCTTACTCCTTTGTGATGGGCTCAATTGTATCTGAATAGGCCTATGGTATAACTGAACAGAATGAACTAAGAGAAATTTAAAAGATTCCAATATTTTATTTTAAACAGGTATCGGTAACTTAAAACAAAAATCCATTTAACTGAAGAAATATTATTTATTAAACGTAAAAATAGATACACTTGATTCAAAACAAAAAAGAAACTTACAACATAACACTGTTTGCAAACCTATAAAATAAAATTTAAAAAACACATACCTAGTCTATGTATTCATTTTTTATAATAATTTTAAAGCTAAATTTATTTTATTGTTCTATAACTACAACATAATATACATATAAACATGATAATATTTTGACTTTCAAATTAAATTAGATAAATACAAATACAGACGCTTCGCTGCTTTAAGTTAATTACTTTTTATTAGTCGGACAAAAATAATTTATTTCCATTCTGTTACAATTTTAAGAGGAAATAAATATTCCAAATAATATAGGCTACAAAAAAATGTTGGACTGAAAAAATTAAAAATTTAAAGAGGTATTTTACTACTATAGTACAGAAAAATTTAACAGAAAAGTACCCTAAAGAGTTATGACTGCCAAAAGATGTTTCCTACCATTTTCCAAATTTGTAGTAAAAAGTTACTATTGATGGCTTGATTTTTGGGATGGGAGGGAATAAAAGTTGTTAAAATTGTACATTTTCACAAATTTTACAGAAACCATACAATTATCAACGTATTCTAGATGGGAATTATACCCACATTTTCAACTTTGGCAACCTTCTCCTCCTAATGTCAATTTAACACGTTCGCTCCGTTAACTTTTTTAGCAATTTATTAAGGTTTTCTCTTACGTGTACCATTGGTGGTCCCCAAAACCCTGCCGTGTTCCACCAGTGGTACACGCAGTAGTCCCCAAATCTCCGACATGCGCCACCAGTGGACCCCGTGACTATGGTGATTGTACACATCAAAACGGCATTTCAGTCAGAGTCTTTGTGAGTGTTTTTACTAAATATAATTATATTCGTGTTTGTAGAAGCCACATGAAACGTGTGCGTGGGTGGTACATGAACGGTACATTAAAAAATAGCGAGATACAAAAGAAAACGTGTTTTTCCTACAGTTACCTGACATAGTGGGCTTCCTTGCACTGATTATAGCATATAAAAGTAGCTAATTGCTGCATCCCACACGGCACAAGGGTATCCTAGGAATATTCCCAGAATGTCCCATCAGGATATAAAGAATATCCCCAGGACATATCCCCATATCCTGGGTACATCAAAACACAAAACAATAATGATTTAGTCAGAAAAGTGCATTTATCAGTTAAGTATTTTGATAAAATAGTTAATAAAAACAAATTTTGAAAAAACATAGAACAAAAATACCATCACCAAATGGGTTTTGAACCTGACACCTTGAACTTATGAACCTCTGAGCTTTCTGTAATGGTTAATATTATGTGTTTTCAAGCAGTTAAAGAGGAGCCGACAACTGCAATGGTTGCAATACTTAAAATATTTGTGATACTATGATTCGATTTACAGTATTCATCAATACTGTTGTTGAATTGTTTTTTCTAAGAGTTGGAGAAGATTTGAATATAGATTAATTGATTACCAATTAGTAATGTTATTATTATAATTGTTATATGATTAATTAATCTTTCCCCTTAAATTGTTTAGCTATTAAAAATTTACTCAAATAAGTTAAAAGAATTGTTATAAAAAACCATATTTGTTGCATTATTACTGTATATGTTAAGCAGGTGTTCCAACACTGTATTCTGCAGAGCTCTGCCCCACGGGAATTTCCTACCGATCTCCAAAGTATGTCCTATGGATATGATCAGAAAAACTTGATTAATTTGTATAAATCAATGGCAATGTTATTGTTACTTTGAAATAAGATTGAATTCCTTTTTAATTACTTTTCTCAAACACTTTTCACTTGAAAAAATACATTCAATACTAAAAAATATGTTTTAATGTAGCCAACTGGGACCGAGAATATCAATAGGAAGTCCCAAGGAAACCCTCAAAATGAATTTTTGTGTGGCATATGTGTAATATCCTAGAGTGATCCTAGGGACATTTTTCAAATCCTGGGACCTCTGTGGGATATGAGGGACTGGTCAGGATATCCTGGGAATATCCTGTGCTGTGTGGGATTTACTTACTTTTGCTGAACTCATTTGACTTTTGCCGCACTCCAGTATTCCAACCAAACAACACAAAACTGTGCTTTTATTAGGCAGGTAATACACGTACGCTTGAAAATAAGTTTGCAACACTTAAAGATCCTACAACTACGATCAGCTGGCAGTGTTTCAAATTCCAATGTTTAGATTTAACCTAACCTAAACGTGTTGTATAGTGTTTGAAAATTATTTAGGCCTACTAATTATGTATACGCTTTATAGTAACTGTAGGAAAAATATAATGTGTAACAGGAGTGCAAAGTTCCTTAGCTGCACTCGAGAAACATTCCACACTCGCCTGCGGCTTGTGCGTGAACATTTCTCTAAGGTGCAGCAAAGTGCCACTTCACACTCTAGTTAGACAAAGAATTATTAATTTATTTCAACAACAAAACTTTCAAAATATCTTAAGTTACGGTACTGTATATAAAACATTATTTTTCACTGCTCAAAGTTTATAAGTTCAATGAATGTACTTGTTTTCAACATGATTACAGGTACCGTATGAGATAATAAGATAAATAAGATAATAATTACAGTATGCTAATTAAACTGTGTAGGTAATTAGCATAATTGTTATCTTATTTTGTTACTGAAACTGTACAAGTAGTGTACAGTTGATAAATAATAAATTATATCTAATTATTCCTATAAACACGATTTCATTTTTTTTTGTCTATGGTAATTTGCACACAAATTTACTTTTGACTGAAATTTAATTTGTCCGCCACCGGTGGCCACGTCGGAGTCGGAGCGAACGTATTGAATAATTCCACCACAAAAGAAAAAACTGACAAGCTTTTAACAATTAGACAACATAATTTTCTGGTGTGTGAGGTTCGGTGCTTCTTTACCTGAACATAATACTTAATAACTATGGTAAAAACAATGGTCGAAAAAACCGGGCCACTTAATGTTTCTGCTAACTCACAGTTAAACTCACTTTTTTCATCAATCTTAAAAAAAACTAGTTTTATAAAAATACCCTTTCAAAACTACACATCTAAAATCACAGCCAAGTTTATTCTTTGGAAATACCAATCTATAGGCAAATATGAAATGAAATTGAGACATTAGTAAAATAACATGGTATTACAAGATGTATAAATTTTTTATAACGTATAGGCTATGGCAATTAGTAAGTAAAGTATTATTGCAAAGAAGACCAATATTATTCTTTATAATCTTTTCTCAAAATTAATTCTCCCTCAAACTTTTTTCGCTCATCAGAATCATGAATCCATTCAAACAAAATCCAAACAAAAATGAAAATGAAGTACCTACATGTTTTAAGCACTTAACTGCTTTGTAAGCAATCATGATGCAAATGCAATGGGCTTCTCAGACCCATCTTTATATGTATACGAGAGGTCGTCCAGTGGTCGAAACTCGACCAAAAAAATGTAATGTACAGACGTCTCTATTTTCACCCCACACGGCTAAATAAAACATGTGATTGGAGTTTCTTCCATTTGTTTTGATTTTCTGTTTATATTTTGTTGTTATTTCGTCACCAGCATGGCAACCCATAAGATCCATGTTAATTTTTTCAAATTTTTAAACTCATTTTTTGTGCTTATCTTGGAGCCTATTTTAATTTATAAAGGGATTGTGTACACCTACAGGAAAATAGCTTTCTAACGATATGATCAGATTTTACCTATGATGAACACGGGCTGAGAAAAAAGGTTTTAAAGAAACATGCTTGCCTATTAATATATACGAGAGCACGCCCCGTGGTCGAAAAATCGACCAAAAGTATGTTTTGTACAAACTTCTCTATTTTCACCCCACACTGTAAATAAAACATGTGATTGGAATGTCTTCCATTTGTTTTGATTTTCTGTTTATATTGTGTTGTTATTTCGTCATCACCATAACAACCCATAAGACCCATGTTAATTTTTTTAAATTTCAAATTCATTTTTTGTGCTTATTTTTGAGCCTATTTTAATTTATAAAGGGATTCTGCACACCTACAGGAAAATAGCTTTCTAACGGTATGCGTAGATTTTCCCTACGATACACACGAGCTGAGAAAAAAGGTTTTAAAGAAACATGCTTGCCTATTAATATATAGATAGATAGATAGATGTGCTAAGCAAGCTCCTAACCATGTGGGACTTGCATCTGTTGCTGGGATTAATGTTTCATGTTGGTCATAGTGAGAGTTTGATCACTTGTTATTTTTGCTTTTACTTGCACAATGCCTTTTCAAATTCTTTAAGTAGCCTAGTTTTGGTAAATTTCTGTCATTGTCGTAACAAACTATTGAGTTCTTTCAGTAAGGTTGACATGTTTGGGACCGAAACGTGTATAGTAGGCCTAACCCAAAAATATTTTACGCTTTTCTGAAAAAAAATTTTGACTTTGTTGACTCCCTCGCTTTTTGGCCAGGGAATAAGCATAAAAAACCTTCAAAAATGGACCACAGGTCATTCCCCAGCCCGCGGTGGACGACCTTGAAGACATGCTACTGTGGGAAAACACGCTGCATATGGCAGTACCACATTACATTTAATGCTGCTCATATTTCTCTAATGTGTTTTCACGCTGCATTAGTGTGTGAAAAAACGCCTGTGGGGCCGTATCCATGGGCTGAATAATCTATATCTTAACTAAATAGGCCTATTGTTAAAAAGTAATTGTATTGCAAATTTGATGAAATTTTACCATCACAAATGTGTTCATTGTGTTACATCAGACCTTAGATCTACAAAAATTACATTAAAAGTAAATGTGTAAACATCCGTAATTACAGTACTTTAAGAAAAGGAAAACATTAAATAAAATATTCAACAAGGATAATCAATATAAAATCAAATCATTTGTTCATTACCTGCACAGAGCATAGAATAAATATAGAGGCGGCACTTGCCGTCTGGAGTGAAGCAGGCTTCTCGTACCAAGATGGCGGCCGGCCCGGTCTGCATTTACATTTAAACCATTATATTGTTACCATGGAAACCACTAATCAATATTTACTTTTAAAACTCTCACCTCAGAACTTTGAAAGCCCACGGGGCAGAGTCCTAGGTCAATATCGAAGGGCGGATAGTTCTATATGTATCCTCAAAGCGGTAGCTTCATTTAATTCATAAAGTAGCATAGAATAACACAGTGGTAATGACGCCGTGTTTTCAAAGTTCCAAGCCCGACTCTCTTACCAAGATGGCGGAAATCGGCTTCACTACTGGTATAGCTGTAGGTATAGGAGTGGCGGCTCTATATTTATTCTATGCTCTGTGATTAGCCTACCTGAAGCAATTAATCATTAAAACCATGTGTTAATTATTATTGTTCAAAACTCTTTGTAAAATATAACATTAGGCCTAAATGCAAAGCATATTTTTGTATTGTATATTCATAAATTATGGTAATAAGTTTAAATGACACTCCATGCAGCTCTACAAACATTATTTGGAGTAACATTACTCAGACCAAGTCTTTGTTAAGGCACAAGACCTAAAGTAGCCTGACAGTAGCTTAAACGTGACTATTGCTTCTTGGGATGACAAAATGAGCATAAAAAAAATTAGTTTATATGTCCGTTAGACCAATGAATAGGCTATAAAAAATATAAGAAATGCCTTTGTAAAATATTCAGTCTGGAAATATTTGAATTTTGGACAGTTCCTGCAGCGGCCGCTAGTAAACTATCGTGAGTGCACGGCCAAGTAAGCTGACTGAGTGGTACAAAGAATTGGCTTAGAGAGAGAGGTAGAGTATCTCCATAAAAATTTTGCTTCCTAAATGGTTTGTATTCATTGGTTAAACAAATAACTAATTACTTTTGTAAGCATTGTAAATAGGGGAGATAATCAGCTGGAGAGTGCAAGCTTACAGTGTAGGTTACTTTCTTTAAGCCTATCATAATATTAGCCTATATTGGTCTAGTTTACAGTGGGAAAAGCAAAGATCATAATTAATTTACAAACTAAATTTGCAAATAATATGGATAATGATAACTTAGTATCAATTTGAATTCATGGGCTAGATTAAACTTTGAACCCATCTAGAAGAAAAGAATGTTTGATTTCTGGTAGTTTTGGCAAAATTATGAACACAGGAGGCTTACCTAAGCATTTCCGATAGATCTTTGTTCATTCCAGACTTTGAGAAGCTCGTTCGGGTCATTGTAACCATGTGAAGCCACAACATAATGGTAATTATGAACACTATACTCTTTCTTGTAAAAGTAAAACTCGTCACAATGCAAAGGTTCAATGTGTAACTTATAGGCAACTAATCCCACAAATATGTCGTCGAATCTGAAGTGCTTTGTGAATAAGCTGCCATAGTATAGATCCAATAAAACTTCCTTGGAAACAACATACGCACCAGCCGTGACATAGGGAGGCCACAGATGGAATGGATACTCATCCAGAGAAACATACCACGTACCTGACCTGTGTCTGTGAGGAGAGGAAACAAATACGTATCCTGTAAAAAGCTTGACTTTTTCAGGAAGTTCAAAGTCCATAACTTGGGAAAGCTTTCTTGTTTTCATAGTTGCAGATTGAGGATTATCATAAGGCTTGTTCAGTATATCTCTTGTGTTCGTTTTTCCTGACTTTGAATCTATAGAGTCGATTGGAGTTTCTAAATAAGCAGGATAATGAACAGGATTTCTTAAAAACTGCAAAACATTTCTTGTGGACACATAAAAGTCATCATCAACAAAAAAGTAAAATTTTGAATTGTTACAAAATGTAACAGCCCACTTAAAAGCTATCATGGTTTTAATAGTGTTGTTGAAATAGGCGTCTGTAAAATTTGCTTGAACGATGTCACCAAATTTTTTACTTTCTTCATTAATTTTAGCTTGCAGTTTTTCATCACTGTTGTCCGCACCAAGAACAAACACTGTACGAATAGGTACATCGGAAAATCTTTTCTCAAATCCCCATGAGTTTCTAATAGCTAATCGATTATTGAAATGTTTTAATGCTGATTTTACTAAGTAAACAACTCGTAATGGAGTAATTTCATTGCTGCACTTGAACTTACAGTCATGGATAAAGGGAAAATTGTATTCGTTGATAGGTTCATGAGACGGTTTATGTCCATCGCGCATTTCTTGCACATATACAGATACATCACCTTCTAAGGGATATTCAAATTCGGTATAAAAATCCCTTTCAAACAAATGTGTAAACACTCCCATGTAAACCAAAACAAAGAATATAATAAAACCTACAACTATAACCTTTCTTCTCCGCAAATATAACATTATTTCAATAATAATTAACTTGGCTTTTAAAAATTGGTCAATAAACCATACTTCCACCATTTATCTATCACACACAATTATATCCTAACTTCAGCCAAGGCCTAGTTAGTGTACAGTGCCAATATGCTGCAATCTTAACAAGAGGTTTTTGATATTTCCTGAATATTAAAACCGTTTATGTCCAGAAATCCACGAAAAACTAGCTCTCAACATTGACATACAATCTATACATTAAGCTTGTTTAAAATTAAAATGGGGAAACATAACAAAGAAGAAAACCTAACCTCAACATTGGTACTAACTTACTTTACTTGACAATTGAAGAATTTAGAATTTACAAATTACATTCAGTCAGACAGAAAAAATACAGAAACAGATTTTTCTTTCTAGCTCTTGAAAGCTAGTTTGGCTACATGCATGAAGCTGCACTATTTTATTAAATCAAATATATATTCTTGATTATAACATTAATAGTCATTGTTCATTAATAACAGCGTTGTCAAAAACGACTATACGTCCTTGACATTTATTTAATGACCATATGCATTCAATTCAATTAATGCTGGTTATAAACTATATAAGTATTGTAATATGAGCGTTATATAAGCTGATTAATTGCGTGCGGGATAAAAGCTGGTGACAAAGTTTGAATTGGATATAAGAGGATTGGTGAATGTGCTTTGATTAGGTCAATTAATTCCTCCTTAAAAGACAAAGGTTTGATCATAAATTAAATACTCTTTTTATGATTCCAGTAATCATCACCATAGATTAGATAGTCAAAACAAACAATAATATCATAAACAGACATATTTTATAATTTACCTTTTTTAACTTTAATTTAACAAATTAATTTAACTTTATTTTATTTTACAATCATATCAGAATAACTATGAACAGTTAGTAAAAGGCATTATATAAATAAATGACTTGGGCAAGAATATCTCCAGATCTTGCAAAAATAGTCATGTCAGGTAACTATAAAACTAAACAAATCTGCATGCCAGTTCAAGCACTTTCACAGTTTTCAGTATATTGATAAATTCACTGTTGTCCAGCAAGTTAACGGTTAAATTATTCGGATGGGTTTCAATTAAGTTTTCCTTTATATTTCTTGCTAACTCTTGTTATTTCTTCAATCGCTGTAGGTATTTTGAAATCTTCATGGATTGACTGATTCGAGACAAACCACGGGACATCAAACTATTCTTTGTAGCTCCTTTGACTGAAATCTTTGAATTATTCCTAAGTTGAATTTGCTTGCCGTTCCTCAAAGCTGAATCCCGTACGTCCAAAAAGGTTTGATCATAGCTTTGTTATGTAAAGTGTGACAAATTTATCACACCCCTGCAGCAAACCTGCAGACTAAGTGAATTCCCATTTGCCTGCCTCCGATTTAAATGTACGGATATAGTTTCAATTCATATGGTTTTGTTTTTCAATTCTGTATATTTTATTTTCAATATTTTAGTAAATTTATGTTAAAATAATTAAATTAAAATCAATTAAGTATGATAAAGTCGGTAGCTTTTTGTTGGCCGAAACTGGGCCCAGCTGTTCCTGATCATTGGGCTTTAAATAAATGATCCTGGCTAATGAAACAGCTGATCTTAGTCAGTAACAAAGCTACATGCTACACAAATCAACTCACGCCATTTTACACTCATCCTTCACTCATATTTGGGTTAAAATACGCACCTAGGTGGCGTCCATATCTCAATGATTGATAATATTGATTAATGAGCTGATGTCACCTGTCTGCCATGTTATCTTTATCTTATGGGACGTCTGACACTAAACAAAACAACCCTACTTGCGACCTTGCCAATTCTAACAGGCCGCGGCCTGAAGTTATAGGTGGCCGTGCCTCCAATACATATATTTCTAAAATTGGTTTTACGATTTGTTATTGTTCCACCTTATTATCTTTTTCTATTGTCTAATAATAGTTTATGATTGCCATTAAGCATAACGCTTATTGACTAACAGATTAATTTTTCACAGTAACAAGGCCCAGGATTATGTACTTTTACAAAAAACAGTAACAATAACACTGTTGTAATAACACTAATAATATTAAATTTACTAAAAATTCATTGCACTTTGTGGGCCTTTGCTTATGCCGCTACCTAAACTGGGTTCCTGGATACTTTGAAAAAAAATATCAAGTTGGCGGGAAATGGTAGCTGAAGATAGCTGACGTTCCATCTGACGGCCTGTTTTTTTGCCCATTTGATTTATGACAGGCCGAGTGGTAACTGGATGGAATTCAAAATATAGTAGACCTCCATGTGGATACCTTTGGAAATGTAGTTTGCTATTTTATATTTTGATTAAAATAAACATTATTAATTTCATCGGTTAGACCACGTTGTATGTATGTATCTGTAAAACTGATGTACGTTTTCGTGTTAAATATGTACCGGTAAATTGTTTAGGACTACTTCACTTCTACATAATAATTCAGATATTATTATTTATATTAGAAACTTATGGGAGAAAGTATGTGTCACAATGCTGATACCGTTTATTATTTATATTAGAAATGATGAAATACATTTGGTATTCAAAAGAATCCAGGTCCCAGGTAGAGTAGGGAGTAGAAATTGCAATGCGCCCTAAGCCTAAGTGGAATGTAAAGATTCAAAACATCCAACTCGAGATGCATACCACTTAGGTGAACGCTGAACTCCCAAAACATATGAGTAAGAATTTACATGGAAAGGTGGATGGCTTTATTGAAATTCACCCAGAACTGAAAATTAGCTTGAACATAAATTATAAACGTACACCTCCCAACTAACTAAAATATTATTTAGCATTCTTAATTTTGGTATTTTAAGTCGATACGGGTATTGTTTTTGGCTACCAGTAAATAAGTAAAAAAAAATGTATTACAATTATTATTGTATGTAAATTACATTATGATTACTATTACATTATGTGTGACATTATTATTATATGTAAAAGAATTTATGTATTAAATAACAAACAATGGTACCAATATGTGACTATCACAATATTATAGATATCAGTGTTTACTACTGATATATATTATCAAAACCCTTGACACTTTCCAGAAAGTTGATTTATCAAGCGTTGAAAATTAGGTTTTGACTCGTGATCCGACATGTGCGGGTCTCGGGATCTGCGAGTTAAAAAGTTGTCATTTTCGATTAGTTATTACGCAAGAACAAACAATGGTACCAATATGTGACTATCACACAATTATAGATATCAGTGTTTACTACTGATATATATTATCAAAACTCTTGACACTTTCCAGAAAGTTGATTTATGAAGCGATGAAAATTAGGTTTTGGCTCGTGATCCGACATGTGCGGGTCTCGGGATCTGCGAGTTAAAGTTGTCATTTTCGATTTGTTATTACGTAAGAACAAACAATGGTACCAATATGTGACTATCACACAATTATAGATATCAGTGTTTAATACTGTTATATATAATCAAAACTCTTGACACTTTCCAGGAAGTTGATTTATCAAGCGTTGAAAATAGGTTTTAGCCGGCGATACGGCATGTGCGGGTTTTGGGATCTGCGAGTTAAAAAGTTGTCATTTTCGATTTGTTATTACGTAAGAACAAACAATGGTACCAATATGTGACTATCACACAATTGTAGATATCAGTGTTTACTACGGATATATATTATCAAAACTCTTGACACTTTCCAGAAAGTTGATTTATCAAGCGTTGAAAATTAGGATTTGGCTCGTGATCCGACATGTGCGGGTCTCAGGATCTGCGAGTTAAAAAGTTTTCATTTTCGATTTGTTGTTACGTAAGAACAAACAATGGTACCAATATGTGACTATCAGACAATTGTAGATATCAGTGTTTACTACTGATATATATAATCAAAACTCTTGACACTTTCCAGGAAGTTGATTTATCAATCGTTGAAAATAGGTTTTAGCCGGCGATACGGCATGTGCGGGTCTCGGGATCTGCGAGTTAAAAAGTTGTCATTTTCGATTAGATATTGCGCAAGAACAAACAATGGTACCAATATGTGACTATCACACAATTATAGATATCAGTGTTTAATACTGTTATATATAATAAAAACTCTTGACACTTTCCAGAAAGTTGATTTATCAAGCGTTGAAAATTAGGTTTTGACTCGTGATCCGACATGTGCGGGTCCCGGGATCTGCGAGTTAAAAAGTTGTCATTTTCGATTAGTTATTACGTAAGAACAAACAATGGTACCAATATGTGACTATCACACAATTGTAGATATCAGTGTTTAATACTGTTATATATAATCAAAACTCTTGACACTTTCCAGAAAGTTGATTTATCAAGCGTTGAAAATAGGTTTTAGCTGGGTATAGGGCATGTGCGGGTCTCGGGATCTGCGAGTTAAAAAGTTGTCATTTTCGATTAGTTATTACGCAAGAACAAACAATGGTACCAATATGTGACTATCTCACAATTATAGATATCAGTGTTTACTACTGATATATATAATCAAAACTCTTGACACTTTCCAGGAAGTTGATTTATCAAGCGTTGAAAATAGGTTTTAGCCGGCGATAGGGCATGTGCGGGTCTCGGGATCTGCGAGTTAAAAAGTTGTCATTTTCGATTTGTTATTACGTAAGAACAAACAATGGTACCAATATGTGACTATCACACAATTGTTGATATCAGTGTTTAATACTGTTATATATAATCAAAACTCTTAACACTTTCCAGAAAGTTGATTTATCAAGCGTTAAAAAAAGGTTTTAGCCGGCGATAGGGCATGTGCGGGTCTCGGGATCTGCGAGTTAAAAAGTTGTCATTTTCGATTAGTTATTACGTAAGAACAAACAATGGTACCAATATGTGACTATCACACAATTATAGATATCAGTGTTTACTACTGATATATATTATCAAAACTCTTGACACTTTCCAGAAAGTTGATTTATCAAGCGTTGAAAATTAGGATTTGGCTCGTGATCCGACATGTGCGGGTCTCAGGATCTGCGAGTTAAAAAGTTGTCATTTTCGATTAGTTATTACGTAAGAACAAACTATGGTACCAATATGTGACTATCACACAATTGTAGATATCAGTGTTTAATACTGTTATATATAATCAAAACTCTTGACACTTTCCAGGAAGTTGATTTATCAAGCGTTGAAAATAGGTTTTAGCCGGCGATACGGCATGTGCGGGTCTCGGGATCTGCGAGTTAAAAAGTTGTCATTTTCGATTTTTTATTACGTAAGAACAAACAATGGTACCAATATGTGACTATCACACAATTGTTGATATCAGTGTTTAA